CCAAACATCATCTTCTGCAGCAAATCTCTAAGAGCACACATAAAATATTTCAACTTAAAAATATACTTTACTTTACCCCTTTTCCCTCATGTCAGATATGGAAAGTCACAACTGTTTGTACCTAGAAAGAAACCCACCAGCTGGAGCAGAATAAAAATGGCTACAAATTTTAATTTTCTGTCAGCCTTTGCCGTGTGTGCCCAGGCCAGTCCTCCTGAAGCTCTGATCATGGCTGAGCTGAGAGGAGCTCAGTCAGAGCTCTGAAGGGTGGATCTCCTGGTTTAGGGAAACATTTCATTTGTGTGTTGTTGGAACAGAGCAGGGAATCACACATGTCCTCATTTGGCCTTTACCTGTTCTGCTCACAGCTCTAAACACAGTGCCAGTGAACTCCGTGTGATTTCCCCTTGGATCATCACCTTTGGTGGCTGTAGACAGCAACACAGAGCAGAAGACAAAAGAAAGCAGTTGGAGGTGCAGCTGGGGCAGAGGAGCACGGATCCTCCCAGCCACAGACCCATCTGTACCCTGGAGAGGAATTACTCCCACCCAGGAGCTGCGCTCAAACCTGCTCATTCCATGCACAGCTCACAGCTGTGCCAGCTCTGCCTGATTCCACTCCCAGAGATGAAAGAAAACTGACTGCTCATTTTTGATGACTGCTTTATGGAGTCCAGAAGTGATTAGCAGACTTGCAACAGCATTGCTGGAGTGATAGAGCTATCTTCATTAAAACCTGACACCACAGAGAGAAACCCTCTGCCCGTATTCAGGTAGAAAAGCCTCCAAAGAAATGATTCAACATGAAAGATGCCAAGTCATCCAAGAATCAAACCACTGGCAGACCTTGAGAACACAGGTATTAAACTCCCCATCCCTACCTCCAAGCAGGCATTTTCACAGAGCACATGCAGTAACCACCTGCTCGTGCATTTGCCCCTATTTTCCATGATTCTGTGATTCTAGATCCTCCTGCTGCTCCAAGGGAGGACACAAGGAGTCTTTTCACATCTCCATTCCTCACCTTCACACTTGTACCACCTGTGTACTGCCAGTTCCTCTGTACATCATTGCCCATCCACTGAGGAGAGATATTATAAAGAAACCAAGTATCATTATTAAAACCAGGTTTATGGATGACTTGTTCATTCCAAGAATCCCCAAATCACCTTAAAAAGGAACACTTTGCAGAGAGACAGAACAACTAGTAAAGATATATCATGGCTGTTCTGTGCTGTGATGGGTAATGACTAATTAATACCAATAATAATGCTAAGTTTGGAGAATGCCTCAGCACTGGGTCAGCACCCTGGCAAGGCAATGTTTTATTGCAGCTCATTAAAGGAGAAAAAAAAGCAATAAAAGCCTTAAGAACCATCACAGATCCTGACTATATGAAGCTAATAAACAGTATGATGATCTATCATTTACGTGAATAAGAAAAGGAATGGACATTTCATTTCCTATGTCTTTGTTGCTCCCATTCAGTTGCACTGATGGGGCTATTTGGGGAAGCCCCACAGAGCCTGTTTACAAGAGAACTTTGCAAAACAAAGACAGTCACGGTCAAAACTTTGCTGGTCAATTCAGTATATTTACATGGAAGAGCTGGGAAGAAAACAAGTATTCTGAAATAGCCTCGTGGGATAGTTCAGTTGGGAACTAGCAGGGAAGGATCTCATGGCTATCGAGATGTGTGCTGGCCACAGAAAAAGCATCTGCAAACAGAGGCTTGATCAAACTTTCTTCATCCAGGCAAAAATAGCATTGCACAACTCCCTGAGCAAAATGGCAACTGCCAAAGTGTTCTGCAAGCAGGGAACAGCATTGTCCAAGTCTGGCTCCTGAGAAATCAGGCACAAGCTCTTTGCTGTCCATAAATGTGGAAAATGTGCCAAGCCAACACCTGACAATACATTTCAGATGCACATACACCATCTGAGCAGCTCCCAGAAACGATCCCATTTTCCCTCTCTCTTTTAACTAACAGAATGGAATTGCTCTGGATTTCCAGTGAAGGCATCTAAAAGCACAGCTGAAACCACTGTTTTTAAGAACACCTTGCTATGCCATAACTTTCCACAGTTCAGTTGCTAAATTACACATTATAAAAATAAGTAAGTGCAATTGAGAGACTGTGTTAATCTCAGAAGTTTAAACACTGCTCTGTAATGAGTGCTTTATGGTGGCCCATGGTTAAAGTGCTTTATGGGGCGAGCAGGAGATTTGTCCGCACGCGTCCGTGAAACACTGCTGGGAATTCTCTCACACAGAGACCAGGCCTGGCACAAAACTAAACATGGACAAAACATTGCCTCATTCACACAGCACCAGGAATGCCACCCAGAAAGAAAACACTTTACAACACCTAAGGGAGATAAGAACCACCAGCCAGCACAGCAGTAAGATGTTGCTTTTGACAAAGCAGGATTTCCTAACCTGACAATCCGTGCAGATTCTGGAAGGATGACAAAAACACGATTGTCCCCTAGCAAGGAAATGAGAGCTTAAGCATTGATTATAAAGAGATGATAAAGAAGCGTGGGTGGTTTGTAGAGTAGTTTACTAAAGCCAGGAGAATTTAGAGCCAAATTAGGTTCTTGCACATAAAAATTCCTGGAACTTAAGGTGAGTTCACATGTGATTGCTCGCTCAGGCAGTCTGCAGCTGACAGACAGCACCCAACTTTTCTCTCAGGTCACACAGGATCCATCCAGGTTGACTCCAATCCCAGGTGAAAAAACTTTTCAATAAATTAAATATGATGGTAACAAAGTTGCAGACACAATACCAGAGCTGTGTTTTGGGTTTATTTGTTTAATAATCATGCTTCAGAATAGCACCACAGCTGAGCAAGATGGGGTTCTCAGGAGTTCTCAAGGGACAACTTGATGCCACACTAGACAAGTATAAGCACACCCAGCAAGGCACAGCATGAAGATCTTTGTGAGAAAGCATTGCCTCCCTCAGCCCTAAAACACTCACAAGCACTGAACTGAATTCTCCATCCTTCAGTGTTACCATTATTAAAGTATCATTCACCCACTTGTCTGCAAACTGCCTTCTTCTCCCACCAACTGCTCTGTCTCACAACAATACCTCATTTCTGGCTCAGAAGACCAACAAAAAGCTCTCCCCTGAGCTTTGGCAGTGTCCCCATGATCACTTGGCAGGAGGCAGCATGACAATGGTGTGACAGGCATCCCCCAAGGAGACTGCACACATCAGTCACTGCTGCTGACACGCTCCACACCCTCCACACCAGGGGAGGTTTCTGGGTGCAGGCAGCTGCTCCTGATGCACCATCCTAAAGCAGCAGGTTTTCCTGTTCCACCAACAGCAGAACCAGGAAGCTCCTCTTTGCGGTGATGGTGCTGGTGACACTGCCACGCTGGCTTGTGCCAAGTCTGCTTGAGTAAAGCAAATCAGGTAATGAGTAGAGAGGACTGAAGTCCTATTTCTAGTCCAAGGACAAATCTACTAAAAGGAAATGGCACTGCAAAAACAATTGCAAGTTATGTCTTTATGATGATCTTTATATGATGTGCAAAAAGTTTTTCCAACAACAACAAAAAATTCTCTTCTGATTTTGTTGTTTTAAAGGAAACTGAAGAACCACTCTCACATTTTCAGAGGATGAGCTGTTGTTGGCTACCACCAAAAATAGCCAACATTTACTGTGCAAAACACAAATCATCTTGATCTGAATACTCTGAATGATTGAACACTGACCCTCATCAACTGTTTAAAGGATGGTCAGGATTAATAGCTTAAATGAAGGAATAAACACAAATCTTCTTTTCCTACATGACAAAAGCAGGAGTTTGCAAATCTCCATGAAACAATCTTAAATCTCCTGAATGACAGTCCCAAGCTCTGGCCAGGGACTCATTTCTGAAGCCTGGCATGCTGGAATGCTCTGATAGATGCAGGAATTGGAAACTGCCTTTGGCTGAGGCTTCTGCCATCTCTAAAGTACATCCAAGGTTCCTGGCAGTTTAACTCTTCCTGAAGATAATAAATCTCTTGTGAGACAGGAAGGCTGAACAATCACATACTTCAAGCCTAGCTCAATCTGTATAGTTCCAAGAACAACTTCCAGTGCAGGTGATAGCAAGCATATGATAAGCAAAGTTCCAGGAGGAGCTCTGTTGAAAAAACAGAATTATGGGAAACAGACTGAACTGCTCATTTTATGGACACAGATCCATTCCAGCACTCAGGCAGTAAAACTAAAATGAACTCCCTCAAAGTTAAAAATGCCCAATAGAACTCAAAAGACAAGGTAATTATTTTGGTTTGACAGAGGGAGAGGACAGGTCACTCGTTCCTACAGAGAATATCTCACCTTGCTGACATCAAATGGAAACACATCTTTCAGTCAATCTGGGTTTTTTTCCCAAAGCTCCCTTTTCTGTGCTACAGATTTATAACTCTGGCCAAGCCTGTACCGCTCTGGGCTAAATAAAAACTCTGAAGTCCATAAGAAATGTAGCAGCACATGCCCCAGCAGCCTCTCCTGTGGTGTCACAGCTCCCCCCTCGGGATCAGGCTGCTCTGCCACTGCACATTCCCGGCCCTGACCCTCTGCCCACATCCCTGTGAATGCAGGTTCCTCAGTTCTCAGCTGTGACAGCTGCTGACCAATGCTTGTCCTGTGTGCGGGGACACAGGGAGTCAGGATGGCACCCAGGGGACAAAGGCAACTTCTCTCTTTCCACCTTTTCCTTAGGCAAATGGAAGCAAACACCAGCCAGCAATTGAGGGTGTTAGCTCCAACATGAGAGAATAATTCCATGATGGATGAACACCTGAATGGCAGTGTACTGTGCGGGTGACAAAGGTGACATTTGTAACACCAGCTGCCCTTGTCCTGTCTCCCACCCCCCGGGTAAGGACCCACCTATTCTCACCCAACATAACACAGCTCCGGCATAAAAACAAAACTGAAAACTCCAGCAGGAACATTAAGGATGTATTTATTGTCAAACAGTAGCACATCAAAATAAGCAGGCAAATGTCATAGTAACTAACCAAATACAGGGGAATGCCTTGTGAATTTACTGGATTTTCGTTTCTGACATCTTTAGAAAATGTATTTTTTTCTTTGGCTGACAGGAAACCACAAAGCACAACCGTCCTGTAATTGGAGCAGACAGACACATATGTGGACAATAATAAGAGGCAAAATAAACTGGTTGAAAACAGATCTATTTACTGTATTTCTAACCACCTCATACTTTTATTCTTCATTATTTGAGGGTTTGAGCTTTCTTTTTTTTCCTTATCTTGGCAGTCTGAAGATTTTTAGGTTTTGGAACTGTAGGGACCAGTTTATAAATGTTTGTTATCTGGGCTGGCAATAGTGGCTTGTTCCACTGAGAAGATAAACAATTCACTTCAACAAAGTTTGATGTTACAGAAAAATGACTTATGTTTCTCATAATTACTCAAATTGGGGAAGCAAGTTTTTTCATGAAACAAATTATGAAATTGCTTGTTTGTTTAGTATTAGTCAAGCATACTTTTATTTCAGAGTTATGAAAATTACAGTTTTCTTCATTATAGCCAGTCAAACCATAAGATACAAAGTTTGAAGTTAACAGTATAAGTACAGCTCTTTGAAGAAAATGAAAAAGCCCCACACCCCCAAAAAACAGTTTATTTACTTCATAAAGGGAATAGCATGAGATTAACCCATTGGAAGAGCACTCTTGTGAAATTCTTCAACAGAACAAATGAAAATTTGAGAAAAACAGAAATTTGTGTACATTTAGGAGCAGGAGAACACAGAAAACACTCTTAAGGGGAGCTGTTCCAATTAAGCACCTTTATTGCAAACAAATGTTGGAAGACAACCTTAGAACTTGACTAAAATACATCTTCTTGTTATTTATAGCCCCTGAGCCCTTTGCCACCGAGATGGGAAAGGTGCATTGAATGTACCTTCAAATAAATCCTTCAGATTACATTCTGACAAAATACATCAGACTTCAGTGAATCATCTTCAAGGACAACCTTAGCTGGGTGATGTCATCAGCAATTAAAATTCCAAAGTTGCTAACATGCCTCCAGTAATTGTTTTCTACATTATACCCAAGTACCTCCCTTCAAAACTGAATTTATGCTAAAAAATTGCTGAAACACAACCCTTGGCTTCACAAAGCACAGGCCAGGTGCATTTCATTTGGGAATCCACACTGCTGTAAATGATTTTGTTCTCCCACACAGCCAAATTAAGAAAAATGTGGACAACAGCAATAAGTCACAACCACTGAGAACATTGTCTTTTTCTAATCACCCAATGCCATAAATTTATTGTGTAATTCTACATTCCCTCTGTCAGTAGAGAAGGTATTAGAACCACTACATCCTGGCTAAGTGTAGGGTTATTTATCCCATGAGGACACAAGCAGTTACGACAAATGCATTTACTTTGGACAGAGTTGGTTATAGAGTCAAAGGACACACCAAAAATGACAACACACATCTGTAACTTGGAATGGGTGAGATGGTTTCCCCAAGCTCTCACTGCTGAAGCTCTTGCTGAGAGACATGATATTGTAGCTTAGGTTTGTTAGGGTTGTGTTCAATCAGCCAGTCAGCAAGCCAAATCTGTGAACAAAAAACACAAAACTCAAATGTTTTCAGCTTTCTGTTGCTTTCTATTAAGTTCATAGAATAATATTATAAAAGCATTATTATATATAAAAGCATTATTTGAAAGCTCTGCTACAGATACTCTCCTACTGTGCTACAACATTCAGCCCTTTTAGAAAGAAATGGACATGCAGATAACCTGTTTTTAAAAAATGTTTTATTAAATCTTCCCAGCCTACACTGCTTTTGAACAATGCACCATGACCTTTAGAAGACAACTTGTCCTGGCAATGTTTACCTCTGTGAAAGTATAAGTCCATTTGAGCCATAGTTCAAATAATTCAGCCAGCTCTGCTTTGGAATGCTGCTGCACAATATGCATGAAACTGCTTAATGAAATATTACTGCTGACAACACTCAGAAATACTTAATTCATTAAGAGTGCCAGCCTCCTGTACTGAATCACCTTACAGTACCTAAAACATAAAACCCAAGCATGGTTACTTTCTGAAATTCATCTTTAAAGTTTTCCAGCATTGCACTTAAATGAGAATGTGGGAGGCAGGAATGCCTTGGGTCCTAATTCCATCTGCCAGTCTGGGCCTGGCCTGAGGCAAATTAACCTTTTGCCTCGATTTCTCCACTTGTAAAGCAAAGTTTTTAACACATCCTTATTTACTTCATAAGGCTATTGACGACTGGTTTCTGGAATGCTGAGAACAACAAACTTCATAGCACACTGTGAAGAAAGAGCTGACAGAACAGCAGACAGGCAAGGTAAGCAACACTCTGCTTTTACTACCACGAATTAAAGGTTTGCAAAGGGAGAGCCAAACAGGACTAGGACAGGTAAAACAACAACAGCACAGTAGTAAGAACCCAAGACAGAAATGGAAAACAAACAAAATAGCCCAAAACACAAAACTCCTTAGGAAAACTACTTTGGGAAAATAGAAATCTTCAAATCATTCGAACCAAATAAATTTATCCTGTATTGCTTAAGGAACTGGTTGAGAGAACCTCTGTGCTGACAGCAAGTATTTCTGAGGGCACAGACACTTTCTGATGCCATCTGCAAAAAGAGAGGAAAGAAGAAAAGGATACTGGGAAAAAAGCATTCCAACAGTTTCCTTGTAAACCACCTAGCAGAAAAAAAAACTGCAAAGCAACAGGCAATATTTATTTCTGAAGCAGTATCAAATCAACACTATTTTCCTACTGTTACAAGGTCACAGACATTATGGACAACAAAGAAGGTGCAAATAAAATGTTTTTAGCAAAGCTGCTGACACTGCTTCATACAGCTTTCTTATAAGCAAGGAAGGAAAGCACTGTCTCAATGACAGAGAAATATACTGTTAGATACCTCATAATTGACTAGAAAATTGTGCTAAGGATGCAGATTAACTGGAAGCCAAAACAATGAGTTAGAAAGATGGGACATGCAACAACAAAAAAATCAGTTTTTAATAAAGTAAAGAGAAGACTGAAGGGAAAGAAAATGAGAATACTCTTCAAATATGCAATAGGTTGCTTAAAAAAAAAGATATTACATTGTCTCCAATGTCTTTTGGGGATAGTAAAAGAAAAAAAAGGTAATGGGCTTAAAATTGGAGCCAGGAGATTTAGGCTATCTTTTAGTGAAAGCTTTTAACAAGTATAATTAAGCACTGAAACAGATTGCCTGGGGAGACTGTAGATTCTCCATCATTTGGAGTGCTAAACCACAGGCCAGACAAATTTGTTAGGAATAGATAGAATTGGTTTGGCCTTTGGGCAAAGGAATGGACTTCATCTCTGTTTTCTAGATTTCTATGGTAACAGTGCCAGACATACAGATAAAGTGAACAGGTTACAGAGCTGGAACAATCAAAGTACATTAAACATGGCCTCATATATATCACATAGTTCATAGGAATATCCCAAGTGATTATTAAGGCTTTTTTTTCTGAAAAGTGTCTTTCAGAAAAATGCAATGTTGACTGTAAATGTGATAATGATGTAAAATCATTACATTGGTTGCTGTACAACTGCCAGCAACTTGCACATTAATTATCTGCATGCTTAAATAACTATTGGAGTGATTGACTGGAGCTTTAACAAAGATACATTAACCACGTTTTTCCAGATGTAAGAAAACTGATTTTGTTTAGGGACTTATAACACACTCTTGTGTCACCTCTAACAAACAAATCAACTTACTGAAACCAAATAATAGAGTAGCTCATCAGCTGACAGCACAGTTCATCACCAGCAGAAGAGCTCTGCTGTGAACAGGGAGTTACTGACAGCAGGTGAGTGCAGCCCAGAGCTGGGCACTGCACGTACCATGGGCTCTGCTGGCTTCTCCTTGCACAGGGCAGTGAGCCCTGCCAGCAGCGTGGGCTTCACGTACAGGTTCAGGTAATCCCGAGCCCTCTGGCCAGTGGGGAGCGGCTCCAGGATTGCTGCAGGAGGAAGCACAGGTGTTAGACAGCAGCCTCTGGAGTAATGAGACACAACATCCTTTCAAAGGTTGTAAATATGTGAGCTGCTCTTTTCCTTAGTAAGTTAATAGTACATCATGGGTTTTATAGCTTCTTCCACAACAAACTGCAAAGGAACTCCCTAAACTTCTTCACTCTGTCCCTGAGGTAATTGTACTAATGACAGTCTATTATGAAAAGGGAGGAAGTCAGATCATCTGGGGAAAACCTGAATCCTTGAAGATGCATTTGGGGCAGAAGAAAAACCGTATATCCCTTGTTTAGCACTTTCTTCTTCCAGTGTGAAGCTGGTTTCTGAAGACCCTAAAAATCTCACCTTTAATCATGCTCTGATTGTCAGGGCGAGAAGAGACATGGTTTACACAATGGGTAAGGTTTGTAAGGAACTGCAACATCTTTTATTGAACTCAGTGATACAACTGACAAAAAGTATCAGACACCTTTTTCTAGCAGTTTCATGTGCATCTTTCTGTCAGAGCAAATCCTGTTACATTACAAACCAGAGATCCTCTTGCAGCCTTTCCAGGTTCTAAGGCCCTTTTCCTGGCACTTAACTTTGGAATTGCACAGTCATGTGAGCATCCAGCTGCTTTTGAATAGTAATTACTCAGCCAGAATCCAAGAAAAGAGTCAGTCTCTCAAGTCAACCGAGGCTGACTGTGCCAGAAACACTTGCTGGAGTGTAATAGCTTCCCATTTCTTCTCATTTACCAGCTTTGACTGCTCCAGTTCCCAGAGCAGAGTTTGAAAAGTGGAGGCAATCTCTGTAAATACACTGGCTCCTCAGATAGATTTTTGGTAAGCCTTCCACAGCAGAAAATGTCAGTTTATACATAAAGAGACCCACAATCCTGTCAAACAAACCAACCCAACCTCTCCTAAATCAGTTGTACCTGGAGTCAGGGCAGGAGAGGGAAGAGCTCCACCCCCCAGGACTGGCAGGGAACCAACTGCCCCATTTTACCTTCTGGAAATATGAACCGAATTTCCTTCTCTGCTGAGGAGGTGCTGACACTGCCGTGGATCCCATTTCTCAGCTCATCAGTGCCATAGAGTGCTCTTAAACTGAAAACAAGGGAAATAACTGCTTGGAGGGCAACTGCAAATCCCTTCCAAGTCTCTGCAGCCTGAGAGCACAGAAAAGCAATAGATATGGACTAATTAACAAGACATTGGCTTGCTTTTGTTATAAACATAAGAAGTAGCTACTTAAAATTTAATATTCATACATTCAGAATTCCCCATAAAATAGGTGAACTTTGCATACTAAAAAACAACAGCGAAAAGCTGTTGCAGAAAACCGAAGAGATAAGAAGCCTGTATCTGTACTGTACAAACAAACAAATAAACTTTAAAAAAATGAATTCTGGTCTCAATCCAAAGAATGACAAAATAATCCTACTGACTTGCCCAAGGCCAGTCAGTGAGTTACCTGTGAGGGTGAGTTATCCTGGCTCTTAGGCTGTTGGATGGTCCAAGCATTTCCTTCCAGTATGAGACTGCACAATTTCTAGCAAGAACCATAGCAACTATAGGACCAGAACTCATATAGGCTGTTAAATTAGGAAAAAACATTTTTCCAAATTGCTCTGCATAGAAGTTGCTACATTGCTCTGGGCTTAACTGGAGCTTCCGTTTCTATAAAGTGTAGAAGGAAAAAAAAATTAAAACTGCTTGCTACATTGAAACAGGTTAGAGAATTAAAGGCAGCATAGAGTCCTCTCCTGGAGTCATATCTTCAAGTGAAGAACACAGAGTAACTTCTGAAATTCCTGTGATTCTATCAGATAGGATCCTCTAGATAGAGAGTAACAAAGAGCAGAAGTTTTCCAAGCTAATTAAGGAAAGAGCCCATTTGAGTAAGATGTGATTTTAGCCCAGGCAAACTACAGCCATTCTAGCTGCCAGATGACAGAGCACTGTACAGGAAAAGTGAAGAGCATTACCAGGGTAGGATTTTATTACTCAGCTGCTACAGCACAATGTTCTACTTTTAAACAAGTTTCTCTCCAGCCCACACTGTTAATTATGCAATTATTCTATTTTTCGTTCAGTGCTTTGTGACTGTCCCAATAGCTGCCTAGCCTGCAGGTGGCCAGGATCAGGACAACTTTGGGAACTTATTAGAAACCAGAGTCAATAAAAAAAATTTAAAATGCATTCTTTGAGCTCAAACTTGTACAACACCAGAGTTCCATATACTCAGAGTCCTAATAACTTCGGTGTCAAAAGTCACTGCAGACATCAGAAGACTCTACTAACATATTGCAATTAAATAAATAAATAATCGATTTTGTTTCATCTTCTGATGAGCAGGGGGGCTCCAGCCCAGGGAGCAACCTCATTAACTCTTCTGGAGCAGCTCCAAGAGATCCATAAATAAATAAATACAAATAATAAATGCACATAAATAAAACAGCCAGAGAGGTTAGGGAGGAAGTGAAAAAAACAAAACAAAACAAAAAACAAAACAAAACAAGACTTTGAGGGGAGGAGGGGCCCCTGCCGCCCACAGGTGCGAGGGAGCAGCGCCCCCCAGCGGCCGCCCGGCCAGGTATATTTAAATATTCATAAGCTCATTTCAATATTAATAAAGTCTATTTACTGTAAAAACAATGGAAACAAAAAATTAGCTAGGCTGCAACTGGCCAGCTATCGAATTCAATTAATTCTCTAATATCCCCTTGCACACTGCACAAAATCTTGTGTACAAAATCTGAATTATATCCTCTCCAAAGAGTTGCATTGGAAAGCTCACACATCTGTTCCATATGTTTGCTAAATCTGAGTTTATTAATAAAGTCTGTGTTTTCTTGTGGTCAGCAAAATAGTTGGTCTGCTTTGTTCCATCCCATGCACCAAAAAGCATCTCCTTACAGAACCGGGCAGCAATGTTTAATGATATGAAGAACATGAATCGATTTTTGGACACACAAGCTCTTAGTTACTGGCTTGCTTGCTAGAAGTTAAATATTTTCCTGACTTATAAACTACAGCTATTTTCTCTGGAGCACAGCCTGTTACCTGGAGGATGCGGAATCCTGATCGGAGAATGACATCTTCTATTTCTTCTTCTTTATCAATCACATCTGGTTTGATGATAGCCAGAGTTCTCTCCACATAAATCTGAGGTTCAGGCATTAAGATCTCCATCCTGGCTTCTATATTAGAATTCACTTGCCCCTTTCGTACTGCAATGACACCAGTACATGACATTTGGAATTTGTCTACTGCAGTCACCTATGGTGACACTCACCATGTACTCCAGGAACAGAAAGGGTCACACCCACCTCACAAAATTCATGAGATGTTCTCTGGATAAGTTAGGACTGTAGTTCACATTCCCATTTTCAGTGCAGTGGCATTTTGTGGAAAAGAAGGCCAAAATTTAATGTTGTTATTCACTAAGTTGGACAATGTATGAGGAGAGAGAGGCATTATCACACACACTGATGTGGGCTCCCTGTGCTCCCACACCCTCCATCCACCATGGGCTCCTTCAAACCCCAAATCTGTATCCTCACACAAGAGGTCTGTGGGTGGGACTAATGATTTGGAGTTGGTAATTTCTCAATGGTTATTTAATTCCTGTATTTATGGGCTCCAGACAAAGTGCCAGTTTTCTGACTGAGCAGACGTCCTGGCAAGCTGAGAGAACAGAACTGTGTTGTGAGTGGTGGAACCAGTGCAGGGGTTTCTGACAGACCTGTGTCCATTTGTAACCTTTTCACCATGGAATGGTTTGGGTTGGGAGGGACCCTAAAGACCATCCAGTTCCACCCTGCTATGGGCAGGGACACCTTCCACTATCCCAGGTTGCTCCAAGCCCCACCCAACCTGGCCTTGAACACTTCCAAGGATGCAGCAGCCACAGCTTCACTGGACAACGTGTGCCCGGGCCTCACCACCCTCAAAGCCAAGAAGGGCTTCCCAGCATCCCACCTAACCCTGCCCTCTGTCAGTGGGAAGCCATTCCCCCTTTTCCTGACTCTCCCTGTCCTGGTCCCAAGTCCCTCTCCATCCCTTTTGGAGCCCCTTTAGGCACTGGGATGGGGTCGAAGATCTCCATGGAACCTTTGCTTCTCCAGGCTAAACGCCCACAGCTCTCTTAACCTTTTAGAGAGAACTGCGAGCGCAGGAAGCTGCGGGGAATCCTGACGGAGCCTCAGAGAACGGCACACAATGGCACCTGCACCCTTCCCTCGCTCGCTGCCCGCCGTGTCCCCACGCTCCCTGCCTCTCTCCATCCGCCCTGCACCAGACCCAAACACGCAGACCCTGCCTGGCTGCTCCCTGATGCAAAGTCCGCTTGTAACCCCCAGATCCACCTGCCTTGGGGCCCGGCCCGCCTTTTTTTATCGCGGCTGCTATCCCGGCCTCCGAGACTCCGCCGGACCCGCCGCCGTTGCCGGGCGATGGCGGGGCCGGCCCCGGGCACAAGATGGCGCCCGCGGGCCTCGGCGGGGCGGGACGAAGATGGCGGCCGGGAGCAGCGCGGTGATGGCGGCGGCGGCGGAGCGCGCCTCAGGGCCCGGGACGGCCGCGGGCTCCGTGCACACCAGCGGGAGACGGTGGCTGCCCCGGGACGGGCTCCGCGGTGGTGCAGGAATAAAGAGCGGAGTGCTGTGATCTCCGGGGCTCATCTCAAAAACCTCATTCCTCCCTGACAATAGAAGCTTTATGTCGGTTTCACCTCACGCTCAGAACTGCTGAGGGAGCCACGCGCTCACAGCAAACGCTTGTGCGCAAACGTAGCGCGATTTATTGGAGAGGAAAGAATAAAGGAAAAGCCAGGAGCCGTTCCAGGTCATTTATCAGCGCTTGTGGGGAGGCTTCCTGCGGACGCGCCTGAGCAGCGGCGGCGGGCGGGAGGTCCCTCACAGCCGGAGCGCTGCCACGAGCCACAGATCTAATGGTGGCTCTCGGCACTGCGAGCCAATTACAGCGGCTCTCCGCGCCACTTCACGTTTAAAACAAAAATGTGCAACGAATAGGAAACCTTCACTATTTTGTGCATTAAACCATTGTGAGCAGGGCATTAAGCAGAGCTGGGGAGCCGCATTCTCTGGGGATTTTCCCCAAATGTTACCGCGCCGTGATGCCAAGGCGTTTGCTGCCTACACGTGCCCTATTTCCCCGGCTCTCTGGGGCTGTCCGCTGGCAGGAACTGCCTGTGCAGTATCCGCTGTCCACCCACCACGACCCGTAGTGCCCCGGTGTCACCTCCCCTGCTTGTTTACCGGCGCTCCCGGTGGAGCCGGGCCAGCTGGCCCCGCGCTATCGGGGCGTGGGTGGGGAACGGCCCCGATAACCGGGGCGCTGCCAACGCCGCCCTGCTCCTCGCTTTCCCCGCGAGCCTCGTCCCCTCTCTTCCTCACCGTGTGCTCACCGAACTCTGCCGTCCCAGGTGCTCGAACACCCGGGGCTCGCGGCCGAGTTCAGCCAAAACTGCACTCAGACCTTTGAGGTGACACTGACAAGGGACACAGAAAAAACACAGGTGTACAGGCGTTAAATTTTAATGGTATCAGACTCAAAAAGGCAAAGGAGGAAAGACAAAAAATCCCCTGGGATTTGGAGCCAGAGGTGCTGACACTATGCGCCCTGGTTAGGTGAGGAAATAGCAAATTTACAGCAAAAGCTGGTTTTAGTGTAAGAAAAGCCCATTTTGTCTTAATCTTTTTCATGAGTAACGTGAATAATATAAATATAGAAACAAGAAATAAAAATATGCAGGTATTTCCTTGCAGTCAACTTGAAATATGTTTAAAAACTGAAGACTGACATTGTTATTCATAACCTTAAAAAATAAGGGCTCCAAGTGCATAAGACAAATTCAGATACAGGTTTTCCTTCACCAACATGCCCACATGGCATTTGTTTCTTTAACCCTATCCAATATTTCATTTGAAGACATTGTAAACACTGCAACATCACAGAGATAATGGATAAACATGTTTTATTTTTACGAAATGCCGATAGAAAGAGTTTTTAGTTTTTTAGTTTAGTTCAGAGTTAATTCAGCAACTCATTTCTTTTCAAAGTCAACGAGCACAAGTCTGACAGCCCTTGCTTAAATTTAGCAGTTCAAAGGCTTCCTCTGCCTGCATGAACACTTCAGAATTATTATTACATAAGAAATGTTGAGTTTAATATCTGTGTTTCACTGTGAACGTGAATCTCCTGCAGTTCTTTATTGTGTAATTTTTTTCCAGGCTCCCAGGACACGAACCCCACAGCAGCACCTCCCAGGGCAGCCCCAGGCTCAGTTTGGGAGCAGGGCCCGCACAGCCCCTGCCCTCCCAGCTCCCCGGGCTGTGGCACAATTCCTCCCCTCGCTGTTTCCAGAAGCATTTCTGGAGGGCGGGGATGGTCTAATTTTAGTTCGGGAGAATCCTCCTCTCTCCAATGAACGAGCGGCTGCATCTGGAGCTGCAGCCAATTGCCCGGGTTTCCTCCTGCTGCACTTCCCACGATGGTTTAATAATGCAGAAGCACAAATTTAAAGTGGCCCCACATGTTAGGAGAAAATGACATTATGTGCTCCCTAACAAAGCTGCTCAACAGTAGTAGCATCTCCAAGGTTTCTCTAAAGCCTTGGATTCCATAAACCTGACCTTAAAACAATGTGTTAATATCATTATGTTTATTGTCTTTACAGAGCTTGAAATAATATTTCTGATAACTAAAAGGCTGGTCTGAAGCACCTTCCATGACCTCTGTAGGCCAGAGATATGCTTTTAGGAAAAGAAACAAAACAAAAATTATAATTGCAATGCAGTGAACCATTGTGGTTCTGAACACTTCTCAGGGCACAGCCTGGCTGCTGTATCTTATCTGTTAAGCGGTTTAACAAGCCTTAGTTGCCTCTCTTATTTTTAGCTGGCATGGAATATACCACCAAAAGATTGTAGCTGCAGGTGCATTTACATCCCAGCAACACCAGATAAGTAACATTTTAAGGAAAAATATTATTTCAGAACTCTGTCCTCTGATAGTGCAAGAAGGTGCAAAAACTAATGTCTTGCAGACTGTTAAAAAGGAAGGAAAGAAAACCAGAATGATGAAAATAAGAAAAGCTAAAGAAGTAATACCAACTAGTAAAACTGAGTAAAAATGAAGCTTGCACATATTTTAGCTTTGTTTGCATTTTGACATTAAGTAGAGAAAAATGTGTTTGCTCCAGCAGCAATGTTATAGCTACACACCACACATACAACTTTCAACCACCATGGGCTCTCTGTTCTTTATTTCTTTTCATGATGAACTGTCATACCTACCCACAGCACCAGCTTACCTTCACTGCTTGCTCCACCCATGCATGCTCTTGCAGTGCAGGAAATCCTGTGATCAAGGCAACTTCCTCTCCCACATGCCTGCTCTCTCCATTTCTGCCTTCTCACAACCAAACAATTCTCCTTCTGCAGCTCATCTGCACGCTTGTAATCCCAGGGAGCTTTTCATTGCTGCTGCTTAACCCTTGTCAAGCCCTCCTGTCTGTTTTCCTCTACTTGTTATCTCACCATTTTCTGTAAAGATAAAAGTGATAAAATATTCTCTTCATGCTTCTTCAGTCTACAAGTCTCTAAGTGGCAGTAGCAAAAATCTTATCAACATGTCTTCTGTAACTCCATCACTTGCCCTGATAACTTCACCCCATTTCATTTCCTGATCTTCCCAACACTCATTCCTTCATCCGTTCACAGCTTTAGTCTTTCAGTCTGCTCTGATTCCTGGCACCCACAGAGATATGTTTGTCTCTTTTATCATTAAAAAAAAAGAAGAAGAAAAGAAGTGCCTTTGGTGTAAGTGCCTCTTGTCACCTGACAGGTTCTTCCAGTCACATCTCTTTGTCTCTTGTTGGGTTCTACCCTAAATCCCCATCAAACTTGGTTTTCCTTCCTCTTATCTGAAAGCTTCTCAATCCATCTTAAACCAATCTCTTGTTTGCCCTTCAGTCATATTTAGCATATCTAGCTCATGTCTCAGCTGTTTTTGCAGTTTTTCTCACTTTTCACTTCTCCAGTCACTGTTTCAGCTTGGCTTGTCAGTCCCTTCTTCCCTTGTGTTTCCTTTTTCTGCAGGAGCATTGGTGAGCAGTGTCCTTGATTCCCCTGCCTTCCCTCCAAGCTCACAGCTCAACACCCCAATGTACCTTTTGTTTCACTCTGCAAAGACACCTCCTGCTTCCTGCAGCCCTACAACTGAATCCCACTACTGCCCTTCCAGATAAAACCTTCCTGCTTTATCCCACCCTGTGGCTCAGCATCAGCTCCTGCTGAACACCTGTAGAGGTTGGGGCTGACAATTTATTTTCTATAAAGTTCCTCCTCATCTGTATACAGAGATTCTACATAAATACTGCATATAGATATCAGGTTTTCACCTAAACTTTAGAGCAAAAACATTTGTGTGTGTTTGCTGCTTCATTTGTTCTAGACAATGTTTAAAATAATGCTTGCTTGCATTATCCCTGAGGCCACCAAGCTCAAGAAACAAGTAGTCACTGTGATTCTACCACAATGAAGAAATTGATGTATTAATAAACCAATAAAAATCTTTCATCTAACAATTTAAAAGAGGCAATTGGTTAAATAATACTTTTTAAAAGATATATTGTCAATTCCTACTTAAAGAGATCTGCTATTCATCTTAATTCCATGTATTCCATGCTGATATGCCTAAGGAATCCTTTTTGCCATACTTATTCTGAGCCATTACATTCAGTCCCATCATTAAAATATATGGGATTACTTGCATAGTTGTTATTATTAATAAAATGTATTTACTGATGCTGTGCATAAAGACTAACTCAGACAGAAGCTTCCTAGAACACAAGACAGGCAAAGGATGTGGGAAACAGAAATTACACCAAGTTTTAAGGCAGTAGATGATATGTTGTTTCTCTCTCTTTTTTTTTTTTTAGAAGAGCATTTAGAAAAGTCAACAGGGAAATAATGAGGAAATGGAGAGGATGGCCAAAAAATGAAGGAGGTAATGAAGATAGGTATGGGACAAAACTCATATGAACAGACAGCAAGGGCAGGGCTTGGCATAAACTGCAAGTCTGATAGAACAGCAGAATTAGACCCAAGATCAGAAAGCCCATATGCAAGTAAAATTCAGTGGAATTTCAGTCAGCACCATGAGTAAACATAGCAATTACAGGATTAAAAAATGGCAAACAATGATAGTTTCTTTTTTCTCAGCAGTAAATGTGTCATATAGGGAGAATTACCACCCAAGAAGGTATGTGTGTACTTTTCTTTGATTAACCACAGGCTTTGAGTGGGGAGTGAAAAGCAAGACCAAAACCCAAGTTACAGCCCAGAGGAATTCTTTAAAATTACCTGTGGCATGATGGGGCCTGGTGAGACAAAAAATCATCACAACAACCCATATTCTCAAATTTCTCAGGCCTTGATGTCTAGATGCATAAAGAATGATTCTGTTGGTTGGGCCAGTCTCAGTTCTCAAACCAGGCTGCTTAGGCAGTCTACAACCACATGGTTATCCTGTGCTTGGATTTGGGACTCCAAAGGTCTAATCAAACAGCCATTAACATGGGAAAACTGGCAATCACAGAGAGCCCTGCCAGCTGGGGCTGCTGGAATTGTAACTGGAATTGCCAGGGTGGGAGATGGAGAGGGACCTGACCAGGAGAAATGGGCAGTTGGAAATGAGCAAGGCTTTAAAGAAAGCACTGTTAGTCAGAAACAGGAAAACACTTGACTAAGTGCCAGTGGTAGGGGAGGGTGAGACAGGTTCAGCAAATCAAAAAAGAGAACTGGAGAAATAAAAAGAGAAGAGAAAGCAAAGGGAAATGTATGTAGAAGTCCTATTGAAATGACAGTCATTTACATTCTTAGCAAGTCGGGGTAAAATACAAAGCAGATGTTATGGGCAGTGAATCTTGCAAGAAAATGAAGTTATAAATATATAATACAGAGCACTCAGGTTGTGTCCATCAGCTGAGCCTGACAGACCCATGCCAAGTGCTGTAAACTTCATTTTACTCTCAGGTTCTGTAACTTGTAACTTCAGCACAGATGCATTTCTGCAGTCACCTGCCACAGCTGCATGCACAAAAGGCTGCAAAAAGAACCAGGGCAGGGAACCAGGGCAGGGGCATTCACCACTTCAGCCCTGCAGCCTCAGCACGGCCTTGGCTCCTGTGCCTTAAACAAAGGTGTGGTATTTCCCCACCAGGCAGGCCATCAGCACAGACAGATGGTTGTAATCACAAACCACATCTCTTTGGTACAGACCTGAGGGGTTTGAAATCTAAGCCAAAACTGCTTGAAAAAATCACAAGAAGCCCCCTTGCTGGATGTGGGGTAAGCTCCTTTGACATGGTATAAATTATGGTGTCTTATAAAAAATTATTTGCTTCTAACGTTCCATTAAAAGTTCAATACAAGGAAACAATATAAAAATATGTTCTCATAAAGATGAGCATCTCTATCAGGCAACATCTACAACCTGTCCTGAGGACATTACAACTTTCAAGTGTACTGGCCCTGCTGTACTGTCTTTACTGCCCTGACTTCATGGAACATTTTTTTTATGAAGTTCAGCCTACAGTTGTGGTTGAGAGTTTGTGTATAGTATACCTTACCCGGTCAGTACCCTATGCTCAGACATCCCTAAAGATGAATTCTGATCTACAGTTTTAGGATAAAAACTGTTCTAAAAGCAGCTCAGCTGAAGGACAGTTCATGAGCCAGACCAGATCACTTAAAATGTTTCTCCACTGTTTCAATTCACAAGTGGCTGTGGGCACTCCTGAGTTTTAACAGCAGATTAAATTGAGCCACAAGCCATACTTGACAGAGGGTGGAGCATTAACGTGTGCACTCATTACTGCACGAAGTTAGGTAATAATTGTTACTTTTTGCCCACAAGCGAAGGGCTTAACTTTCAGTTTTATTTAAAGATGTGTAAACTTTACCTGTACATCTAGAAGGCAAAATCTGCCCCTTTGGCGTGGGCAAGCAGGACATTATGAGCTGTATACCATAAAATAATGTCTGGTTACAGGGAGCAGTTGTCTTCAGGACTCCTCACCCATAATTCAGCCAAGCAGGCTGACATATCCTTGGGCAAAAGGAATTAAGGCCCGGGCACGTGCTCAGCGCTCCAGCCCCGAGTTATGTAATATCCAAAGCTAAGTTTAAAAACAACAAACTCTGGCCCTGCTCGGTTGCAAAACCAGCAGAGCTGGAATCATCAAGCAAACCTCTGCTCCTGGAGTAACTGACTCAGGGCCCGTAACACACCTCGGGCCGGCACTCGGGGTACAGCCCAGCGCTCCGGCCGCGCCCGGACCCTCCGTGCGGAACCGCGGGCCCGCTCCGCCGCGGCCCAACCCGCACCGTGCTGGGAGCGCGGCCCAGATCCCCATGCCCCGATCCCCATGCCCCATGCCCCGATCCCCATGCCCCGATCCCCGTTCCCAATCCCGCCCGGCCCCGCCGGCAACTCCCGGTCGCGCCTCGCCCGCCTCTCCCCGCGTGGCCCCGCCCACCGCGGCAGAGCAGCCAGCAGCGAGAGCAGAATCTCCTGAGTGACAGGCGGCGACATCTAATCAGGACGCGCCTTGTTGCGGTGTGGCGCAGGCTCCGGCGGTATAAAGGTGGCCACGCGTCGCGGGCGCGGGCCCGAGTACGTGTCTGAGGGGGAGGTGGCGGTGGCGGTGGGGCCGGTGCGGAGCAGCCGCGGGGAGCGGGATCGGCCTCAGCGCCAGTGCCGGGGAGGTTTTAATTAGACTTCGGTCAGCCCGGGTTTTATCGGGAGCGGATTTTAAAAGTGAGTACGAGCGGGATGGCGGCGGCGGGAAGGGGGAGGGGTGTGAGCGGACCGGATCAGACCGGCCCGGCCGGGGAGGAGCCGCCGCGCTGACCCGCGCTCGTCTCTCGCAGGCGTCTCTCGTCCCTCTGCCTCTGCGGACGGGGCACCATGTCGGAAGCGGAGCAGCAGCTGGCGGCCGGCGCCACCCAGAACGGGCACGAAGCGGCCGAGAGCGCCGGGGAACAGCAGGCCGAGACCGGCGCGGCCGCTGCGGCGGCGGGAGCGGCAGGAGCAGCGGGAGCGGCGACGGCGGCGGCGGCGGGAGCCGGCCCGGCGGCGGGAACAGCGGGCACGGCCGCCAGCCAGAATGGGGCCGAGGGCGATCAGATCAACGCCAGCAAGAACGAGGAGGACGCGGGGTAAGCGCGGGCGCCATGTGCGGAGCGCCGGGCCCGGCGCGGCCCTGCGGCGGCAGCGCCCCCGGCCCCGCTCGGGAGGGCGGCGGGAGCGGCCCCGCCGAGCCGGGGCCCTGCAGCACCAGCGCTTCCTTTGTTCTGGCGCTGCCTTTTGTTGGCGCCATGTGGCGGCTGGGGGAGGGGCGCCGAGCGGGGCTGTTGCCGTCTCACGCTGTAAAATGGAAGGGGATTTACCTCTCCCGCGTTTTCTTCATCCTTTCCCTCTTTAGCGAAAGGGGCGGATGGAAGGAGTTGCTTTCTGTTGGTGGAGGGGGGGCTGGCTCAAACTTTGCGGGGATCGCGTGGCCCATCGCCGCTGGCGTCGGTGGAAATGTGAATGTTTTGTGTAAAAAATAATCCTGGCCTTGGAAGGCGGCGTTGATAACCTAAGTATTTTTTAAGGGAAGTAAAAGGAAAACCAGCACGATTGAGATAATGCGCGGTGTGTTTAAATCGGTAAGAGCTATTTTGGTGTGCTACTTTGCAGCATTGTCAGAAACTGCCTTAAGTCTTGCAAGGGATTTCTGGAGCAGTCAGTGTAGTTTCGCTGTGCTTTGGTGATGGAATCCTTGTGTATACAAGAGGAATTTCTTTCCCGTCGTAGTTGGTCTGTTCATAAACACTCGTAATTGTCACCAGCATTACCTGGCTATTTCTCAAGCAGTTCTTTGTTATTCGGGCTGCCCCGTGTATTTAATTGGAACTCCCTTTGTTACCGCTGAGCTCTGAACCAGAGGGTCAGATCCCTTCGGTTAAACAGAGCGCTGAAACCAGTGCAATAGATTTTTGACTATAAAGGAACGAGTAACACTTGCACAAGCTTCCCACGAGCTGGGGCCGGATGTACTCTTTTGCAGACACTACAAGGATTGCGAACCAGGCCTTTTAGCTCTGTACGAATTTTTCTTTAATGTTTCTAGTATTTTGTGCTGAAAAAAGGGTGATTTATTTTCCTTTCATGAACAGGAGGTGACAAGCTTCAGCCCCAAATCGGTATGAAATGAAACTTCTTAGAAAAGCACTTATTCAGAGGGATTGACGTATGTGAAAAATGTAATGCTGTCCAAGGCGCTGATTTTACACTGTTTTGTGATGAGCTAAAATAAGCTTCAGTTTAGCTGCACAAATACACTCAGGAGGGAAATACTGACTTCGTGTTAAGGGTGTAGTTGTCCAGTTTTTGACCTATGAAGGAAAAGCCAAATACCGGGTTTTTTGTCTCAGTTTCAAAGGTTCAAAAGTTTTAACTACTGTGTTATTTAAATTAGGTATCGGTTTTTTCAGTTACAAAACAAAGCACTGCAGATTGCAAAGCTTAACACACAGTGCTGTGGTGAGAGGTGAGTTCAGCATGTGGCAATGCCATAGAGCAGCCAAAGCTGCCTCCAGACAAATTCCTGTCATCCCGCATCTCTTGATTGTTCTGGGAGTGTGGTCAGCGATGACAGGGTGTGCTGTCAGTGCGTACAGGTTAGAGCAGCCACAGGCAGCTGTTGGGATGGGAAGGAATCCCCCAAGCCCCTTTCTTTGCCCTGGTGTCGAAAGGGTGAATAAAGTTCCTCCAGGGCTCTGCTGTAATGGCTGCAGGAAGCAGACGCTGTATTGGGGCCCGGTGCTTCCTGCTGCACTCACCGAGAGTGCACGGCTTGCTCTGCTGAGAAAACTTCAGCAGATAAAGGGGATGGTTTTCATCCAGTTCAATAAAAAAGGAAAACCCCTCATTCCCCAAAATTCCCCCCCCATTGCCTCCTGTACATAAACACATGCCGATTATTGCAAAGTTACACATAAACACTAAGAGCCAATTTTATCTAAGCATAGTTTTATTTCTGAAGTGCTGCTACCTTCCAGTGTCAATCTAGGTTACCTCCAAACAAGAGTAATGACAACTTGAACTGCTTCAGTCTATAGTTAGATAAAAAAGGCTCGAATGCTTTTAAAAGCTTAGTTTGTTACCTTGGAAACTATGAAAATAGAAAATGCAGCCATGTTATTAATGTTTTCATTTGAAGTAAAGCATTTGAAAAATGCCTTATTGCCTGCTATCACTGTTTTGTTTGTTAGCTTCACTTCTGTATTGTGCCTTGAATTTAGTTCTTTGAGCTGGATATCCTCCTTCAGAGGGTATTTTGTATGGGAAAGTGGGCAGGGAAGAACTGTATCCGCCCACTTGGAATTAAAACTGAGGATGGGGAGACTCCTGTAGTACAGATGAAGACAGAACTAGAGTCAGTAACTAAGCAGGAAGCAGTGCACAACACAGTAGTTAAGGCAGGTCCAAAGTCCCATCTGGTCTATGTGAATGTTATTGGAGGTCAGATACCTGGACTAAAATTTTTACAGCTCTTTAACCAAAACCTAAGAGATCTCAAATACTTTGTTTTTGATACCTTATTCTTTGCTGAATGCTTTCAGAGTCTTAGGAATGACCCTAAGTTCTTTGCAAAAACTGAGTTGGCAGTACTTGATAATCAATACTGCTTTCTTGCAAATTATAGAATACTTTCATTAGGAACAAAAGTTACTGGCAAGGAATATTTCAGGCTATTCTTATTAATTTTTGTATTACCCTAAACAATGGCAGGGTGCATTGTGGCATTCCCTCAAAAAGAGGGGGAGAAGCCCATCCTTGTGCACTCTGTAATATCAGCAGCTTTTGATGAGGTGCAGGTGTTGCACTGGGACAGACAGTCCTGTTCTGACAATGCTGCTGAGGTGTGTACCACTGAGCATCTTACTGCATGGCCTGTTCTCAGTGCTTCCTGAATCTGAATAGCTCTTCTCTCCTTGAAATTTCAGGAAGATGTTTGTTGGTGGCCTCAGTTGGGATACAAGCAAAAAAGACTTGAAAGATTATTTCACCAAATTTGGTGAGGTAACCGACTGTACGATAAAGATGGACCCTAACACAGGAAGATCCAGAGGCTTTGGATTTATTCTCTTCAAAGAACCTGGGAGTGTTGAAAAGGTGAATTTAAGATAAATATTGTAGATCTTTAATTTCTAGGGGAAGGTTTTCAGCTTGAATTAATCATACCAAATTGTCTTTTAGGTTCTGGAACAGAAAGAACACAGACTAGATGGACGACTAATTGATCCCAAGAAGGCCATGGCAATGAAAAAGGATCCAGTGAAGAAAATATTTGTTGGTGGGCTAAATCCAGAAGCTACAGAAGAGAAAATCAGGGAATACTTCGGAGAATTTGGAGAGGTGTGTAATGGTATCTTTGTAAACTCTGAAAGTAGTCTCCAGTTGCTGTGTAGTTTATTAATAATTTGCATGTTTCAGAGTAAGTTGACTTCAGATGTATCAACCCTTCTGTAACATCCAGAAGTTTCCCACCTTGAGAGCAAAGGTGGCACTTCCTGCACTAGATGCTTCCATTGCTAGTTAGAGACTCTTGTCTTTAACTCAAAGCATTTTAGCTGATGTTAACACCAGTTTGAAGAGTTGTAAAATGGAAGTCTTGGATCTGAAAGCCACTGTTAGCATAGAGAAGCTTGCAATTTTGGTGTTGCATAATATGCATAAAGAGAAAATTTACAGTTTTGATGTCCCAGTTTCTGTGCATTTGACTGTTCATCTAAAGCATGAGTCTGAAAATAGTATTTCACATCTTCAGATTGAAGCAATTGAACTGCCAATGGATCCAAAGACCAACAAAAGGAGGGGCTTTGTGTTCATCACTTTCAAGGAAGAGGATCCAGTGAAGAAGGTTTTGGAGAAGAAATTCCATAACGTCAGTGGAAGCAAGGTACAAACTCTGACTTGTAAGGCTTTGACCAAGGATTATACCTCTACATCTGTAACCTGAAAAGGTTTTTGTAGACCCCTTGTGTCAAAGTACTGAATTTGCAATAAGGACAGCTTGAATTTTACCATAGCAGTGTTTCGCCCTAAGTTCTGTCACAGAGGCTGCCAAAGCTCTTTGACAATACTTGTGGCTTTCATTGCTGGATTTTAGGGCCTTTGGTATATTAAGTATCTAATTGCATTCATTAAATAGTTGTGGAGAAATTGGCTTGTGTAGCAGTGTAAGCCATTCCAGCAGGTCGATGCCTATTTTCAGCACAGAGCACTTGCATAAACGAAAGCCTTGCAGATGCCTAATTTTGCAAGCACCTGGCTGAAAGTGGCTCTGTCTGCTGGGGGACAGCTTCTGCTTTCTTCTCTCTGGAGCCCCTCTGCAGCCCCCCTGCTACCAAAACCTTGTCATGTAAACCCACTACAAGGATCCAGGGAGTGAATGTACACTTGAGGAAATTTATGCTGGGTCAGCTGGTTATGGGAGCCACTGTAAGGGTGGTGTGAGGTGCTCTGACCAGCTGACTGCTCATCTGAGGGAACAGCTCATGGAGAGAGGCTCATGGATCAACAGATGTAGAGACTGGAGGCAAATGAGGTGTACTGGCTCGAGGTGTCCCTGTTCCCTTGCTCTGAGGCCTGTGCTGACCACATAACTTCAGAGTTCATTACACTGGGTCATACTGTCTGACACTGACTTGGATTTGGTTTAAAACTGGTCTTGACACAATACAGAATAAATTTTGGCAAACCTAGTGCAGTGGGGAAGTCACTGGTTAGAAGTGAAGTTTGTTTTCAGGAGAGATGAATGCCTAAATGCCAAGAGAGCTGAGAAATTCCTGTATCATATCTATGACTTGTTTTTGTGTTATAGCCATAGATAATAAAAAGCAGATTACCTTAAAGGTCCTGTGGTAAAGAACTCCAAGCCAGGCTTGCTCAGGTGCTGTTCCTTTTGCAGCACAGTAGCTTTAGTCTTGGACTATGCACAGATCCAGGAACCTGGCACTTGGCTGACAGCTTGAACTGCAGCCTGGGAACCTTGTCTTGGAAATGTCAGTTCTGGTTGCTTTTACCTGTTAGTATTTGATGAATGGTGATTTCAGGTGTTGGTAGGGGTGTGGTACAGTCCATCCACACACACAGTGTGTAGGGTGTACAATGGCTGCCAGGAAAACTTCTTTTGTGCATTTCTCAGAATCCTGTTCATTCAGTGCAGGTCAGGTGAAGCAGTCTGACAGCAACAGCCTTGTCCTGGAGCTTGTGCCAGGTGACAGGGCAGCCTTGTGGCTCCTGCAGGAGAGGTGGCCTCAGCACCTCTTCATGGTGAAACTGATGGTAGGGAATAGGCAGGATAAAATGCTCTGCCAGCAGTGGCCTTTGGGAAAGGCTGGCAGGGACTCACCTTTGCCCAGGTGGCACAATAAATCAGATGTCCCTGCATTAGTGCTGCTCACCTGACCAGCAGCACAGCACGTACACCTCCTTTGCCTCCAGAGGAACCTCTGGCTTCTCCAGGTGCTCAGGTGGGGCAATGCTGCTCTGAGGCACTTGACAGACTCTTCCTTGTTTTTTATTTGCAGTGTGAGATTAAGGTAGCACAGCCAAAAGAAGTGTACCAGCAGCAACAGTTCAGTAGTGGAGGAGGAAGAGGTAGCTATGGAGGAAGAGGCAGAGGTGGAAGAGGCGGCGGTAAGTACCACACACACTACTTTAGTATGGACACATTCTAAATAAGTTGTGTGTACTAAAATGGGATTTTGTGGATGGTTTTCCCTTCTATAGCTCAAAGTCAAAATTGGAATCAAGGTTATGGCAATTACTGGAACCAGGGTTATGGGAATCAAGGATACGGCTATCAGCAAGGTTATGGTGGCTATGGAGGCTATGATTATTCAGGATATGGGTATTATGGATATGGACCAGGCTATGATTACAGTAAGTAAAGAGAACTGTATTGGGTATAAGCAAGCATAACTAATTAGCAGTTTAATGCATTTGTTCTCTTGTTCATAGGTCAAGGCAGTGCAAATTATGGGAAGACACCAAGACGTGGTGGTCATCAGAATAACTACAAGCCATATTGATCAAACTTATTCAGGTATGCAGTGGCATGGTCTCTTTTGGAAAATGACTGCATAGGTTTTGTATACAATGCTGTAGATGGATACTTCAGTTCTGTACCAAATTTAACTTTACAATAAATTTCTATGGCCTGTTAAATGTGCATCTTACTTGGAAGAGCTCCCTGGAAATGTTTTACATGTTTATTACTTACCAATAACTAGTTGTCTAGACAGTGTGGTGTGTAATTTTCAGCATTGCTGAAGATATTAATTAATGATTTCATTAATAGGTTAAACTGAAACTGATTTTGAGGGTCTGCTTAAAGCTGCAGCTCTGCATCTAGGGACTGCCTCTTGGAGTTAACTATGGACTCTGCATTACTCCAGTTGTACAGAATGAGATGCATCTTAGGGAACCAGTGTCACTTTCCACCTTTTTATTTTGTATTGTTTTTGTGTCATACATTTCCTGTAATGGAAGTGTTAATTTTACTGTACTTTTTGGTACCTTTTTGGAATCTAATGTATTGTAAGGTATTTTACATGTGTTCTGATTCACCATGACATGGATATTGGAGCTATCCTAGCTTTTGAAATAAAAAAGGCGTAATCTAGTGTCTTGTGCCATTCTTCAGCTCATGTGTTAGTAAAACACCAGTATCCTGTTCCCAGAACTTAGTTCATGGCAGTACCTTGATAGATTAAGAGTTGTGCTTAAATGTTTTTAATCTTGAAACTAGAAGGCTGTGTTGGTAGTTGTGCTCACTTGCAGTTTAAGTGGCAGCTCAAACCTGCTGTCACTTGTGCCTGGAGGTTGTGGAGGAGAGCTCAGGTGAGGAGCCCCAGCTGTGGTGGGGCTGTGCTGGTGAGGTGGTGGCTCTGCTCTAGGCAGGCACAGAGGCTCAGAGTGACTGCACTGGTGTCTGCTTTGGGCTCTGCTAGGAGGAGCCAGAGCTGTAGGTGTCAGGGCTTGGGAGTCTGGACAGCATTGCAGGAGGGAGCTGAGAGCTGTGCAAGAAGCTGGCTGCACTTCCTCCATATTTCACTGTCTTGAGTCTGAGACTTGTCTGCAAGTTGTTAATAGGCTGTATATACCTGCCTTGACAGGCAGGTTGGACAGACATTCATTACCAATGCAAAGTCTGAATTTTTGCAGCCTTTTTGTATAATAGAAAAGGCTAAAGGAACTTCCACTGCAGTTGTGGGTGGAAAAAACATCTCTTTCTCTAGAGATAAGTGACCAGCTAGAAATACTCTCCTTTTTTGACTTTACTGTTAGTTTACTGCTATTTTAAGGCAATAACTGTCATGTGATTTGCCTGTCTTGTTGCAGACTATAAGTAGCAAGCTCTACTGCACAAAGTAAACTTCTAATCTTTGTTGCAGTGATCAATTTGATAGTAATCTCCTTTTAAAGCTAAAATTTGGCAATATTTTTTTTTTCTTGTAACAAGTTCTCTTTGAACAAGTAACACCTGCAAGTGGAATCAAACCAAGTAACTAAGACAAGAAACAAACACATGTTACTAGTGACCTTTGTAGTTTTTTTAACAAGGGATGCAGCTATTTCTGCATGGACTATAATCTGCTGCTCCCTGCTGGTTGTCCTTGAAAAGAAAAACTGGCTTGTAAGTTTAGAAGTCTGTAAGACTTTTCTGGTGTTAGGTGTAAGTCTTCAGTATTGAAAAAAAAAAATCAGATTTTAAATCTTATAGTTGACAATTTTACAGCTGGACCATGTAACCTCCAGCCCAACTTAATGCAAATAAAAAACCAGCAGATCACTGAAAAAAATGAGTACAGTATTTAGAAGTATTACTGTCTCAAGATTTAAAATTTAAATACTTTATTACAAACTTTGAATATTTTTTCCTGTGAAATAAGGGGTAGCAGAATATTTTTCTAGCAAGCACTTGGCCCTCCAGTGGGAAACCTGCATGGCAGCAGGGCCATAGTGCTGCAGGCTTGTGGCTGGTAGTGTCCTAGCAAGAGTTTGTCAGCTGGTGTTGTTGTGGTGGTTTTTGTAAGTAGGTGCTCAGGTAATGCTTCCTTTCCAGGTGATGTGGCCTTAGGCAGGAACTGAGGATACTGGTACTTAAATGCAGAGCTGGCTTTTCCCTTTCTTCTTTGCATGAAAAGTTTGTGGTACAAAGAACTGCCTGGTGAAAGTGAAGGCTTGTGCACAAGGTTGTTGCTTATGGCTGTAAACTCCTCTTAATTTACTAATCCTACTTGGGTATTTCTCAAGGACAGACTGTGTTTGTAAGAAGTGGTTTGGGAGCCATAGCCCTCAGCTGTCTGTCCCTCATGTGTTTGATGTCAGGAATTTGGAACTGAAGTTTTTGACTTTACCTGGTGGCTTGAGAGTGTTTGTTGAGTACAGTGCTACTTTAGGGACCTTGTTCTGACACTGGCTGCTGAAACTCATCAGAGTCCTGGGAAGGACTGGGTGTACTGGCACCTGGAATGGTGTTTGCAAAGATAGCTGAAGACTTGAAAATATCAGAACACCCATTGGCTCATCCTGATTTGAAAAAAGTCATAACCTGAAAGTACACAAATTTAGCAAATGTGTTTTGTAGTGGCCATTAGAAAAATCCTCCTTTAGAATCAGTTTTAGATATGCAGTTTTAAATAAAAGCTAATTCCACACTGCCAGAGTTGAGACAAGCTCTTGTAAAATTTATTTCTCCTAGAGCTTTTACTAAAAACAAGATAAATGAAAACAGAAAAATCAGAGGTGACTTATCTGGTCTAAGACATGCTAGGATGAAGATTAAATGTGCATTATTATAGTAGAATAATGTTTCTTAGTAGTAGATCTTGAACATTGTTTGAAACCTATGGAAAGAAAATAATGTTATGGGTTTTTTTGTAAAAGTATCATTAAAAGAAATTACTCCATTGCCTCACTTTCGCTTACATTATATGTAAGTGTCTTACTAGTACTGTACTTAGTAAGAGGCTTTTTGCATTCTTGGTTTCCTGTAGAAAATAAAGGCATTTTTCTTGCTTAGTTTAGATCACAGATAAGTACATTAAGTCATTAGGCCTCTAATTTGCACTGGCACTGTTCAGTAATCTTTCTGTTCCTAAGAATAAGTAGTATAAACAGCTGTATGTCTTTCCATTAACTTGCTAAATAAAATATTAACACATTTCTCTTGTGCCTGCTATACTAATATACATTGAACTAAAACCATATTTCTCCTTAGCTCAGGGCCATAGCACTGTGAATCTCATGGTGGTTGAGGTCACAGGTGATTACACTGCTCACAATGACCCCATTAGGTGCACTCCTGCCCAGCTATCCAGAGTTCTAATAAACATGTGGGTGTCTTTTAGTCAGAGTAGTTTGGAGAAGTACTAAGTGTACAAAGGGTGTTGTTACCAAGGTGTTAACTGTGAGTTACACTGTGCTCATGGGTGTGCAGCAAACTGAGTTGCAGCTAGATGTTCTCTTGGCAACCTACTGAGGGACCTCAACAGATGAAGACATAACAAGGCTTTGAAGACTTAACAAGACCAATCTTACTCTGATACCCACAAACTTTTGAGTCTAGGGGTGAATGGATCCTGAAGGATGAGATGCCAGCTGTGAACCTGAAATGACACTTAAGAGGAGATCTGCTGAGAAGTGTTTATGCAGGCGGAGCCTGAAGGCACTGACTAGCAAGCAGAAAAGCTCTGTTTGTGTGGATGTGCAGTCATTTGCATGCTCTAGAGACAGTCATGTCTGGGACATGTTGGCCCTTGCTTCCAACAAGTGATGCACACAGTGTTGCTGGGAGGGTCAGACTGATGGAGGGCAGTTGTGAATGCTGGATGTACACAAGTGTGGTCCATGCCTGGAGATTCCCAGAAATTCCTGCAAACTTTGAGTAAAAGCATCTCTGAGGAAGCTTTATTCTGATAGTGCTTCTGAAGTTATGTTTAGGAACCTGGCTTTTAAATAATACTGGGTGGCTATAGGTAAATACCTGCTCAGCTGGAACAAAGAGGTGTTTTCTTTTGGCTCAGACATTCTTTTTCCATATCTGAAGAGAGAATAAGAAACAACTTAGAGAAGCCATGACTTTGTGACATAATTTACACATTTCTTAATGCTAAGTTTGTAGAGGTTGTATAAAAAGCTTAAGTGGCAAAAGCACATAGATTACAGCTTTCAGGAACAGGACATATTTTACAACTTGTGCTTGTTTGGATAAGGTAAACACTCAAACCTCAGCCAGAGCAAAGCTATTTTAAAAAGCACACGCCTCTGCAGAGGAAGTAGTTTTGTTGGAGAACTTCACAGAATGACTGAGAAGGGAAGGCTGTGTGCTCAGCATTTACCATCTTTGCTCCATTTTAGCATTTCTGAAAATTTGGCTCAGTAGCTCAGCATTGTCTTCAAGAAAGTTCAGAACCACCCACTATTTTTGAGGGTTTTGATCATTTTTTACCTGTTAGTATTTGGTCTATTGTCTCCACAACAAATTTTGCATCCTCCATATTAAAACACATCGGGGGCTTGAATTTCAGCACATTTCTTCCTGGCCCATCTGTACTTAGTAGAATATATTTTTCCTTAAGTCTGGGAAGAGCAATAATGAAGAATTACATTTTCCTCTGCATGTAGCTCAGGAAAACTTGCAACACCAGCCTGCAGGATGTCACACTTTCTACACTGACTGGTTTCACTTTTGGCCAGCTGGTTGTGTTTTAGCAAGTCCTGTACCTTGTTATTAGTTCCTCTGCTTCTGCTGTGGCTGGAGTCCTTTCTGCTTGGTCCTTGATTAAGTCTACTCCAATGAATAAGCCACACCCTCTGTAAAAGAAATAAAAACACTCAGTCTGTCAGTGTCAGAGGAAGGAACTACAAGTGAACTAAAAAAATTAAGTTTTTTTTAACACCAGACCTTTACTGCATGAGAATTACCTGATGTTTGGCTACTGTTAGAAAAAAGTTTTGCTGTTCTGAAGAAATGTGGTAATAGAGACTTCTGTCTGCTCACCCTGGCAGAGCAGGACAGGATGTTAAGTATGTTTTCCATCTAGCTCATCACTTCTGTACCCTGTGCACTTGACCTTTGACTTCAAACACCAGTTTGAACAGTAGCAGTTCAACAGTTTTAGCAGCTAATAAATTGATAAAACAGTAGTGGCCCAGAGTGGCAAAGTATATGAGACTTCAGATAAGCTCAAGTTGGTTTTACTTAGTTGTACAGGAGGCTATTTTCACTGGAAACACAAAATTTAATTAATTTCTCAAAACAACATCTGTTGGATTGGACTGAGCGAACCAAGAGAAAGCTGCCAAAAATGTAAATAAGGCACTGATACCTGACATCACCAATGATGGGATGCTTGATTTGCTGCTCCTTGAGTGTCTTCATCAAGAAGCTGCCTACCTCTGTGGCATGAGCCTGAAGGTGTTCCTTCTCAATTACATCCAACACAGCTAATCCAATGGCACATGAAACAGGGTTCCCACCAAACTGAGCCCAGGAGAGGAACACACAGCCATGGAAAGGGAAGAAAGATGAAATCATGTCACTGAAAGTGTAGCCTCAGTGATACAAGGAGCACATTATTACTTTTATCAGATGGAGCCAATACATAGTCACAGGCTAGAAACAGAAATAGTACAGTGACACAGTTCCTCTTTAGTTACTGTGTGGTAAATACCAATAAAAACACACCATGAGTATCTGATTTAATCCTTAGGCTCCTTTACAGAAGTGGGCAGCTGTTTACTTACTGTATTAAAATACTCCACTCCTGTGGCCGCAAAAGCTTCTGCAATTTCTTTTGTTGTTGCTACACAAGCAAGTGGGTGCCCATTTCCTATTGGCTTCCCCATAGTGACAATGTCAGGTATAAAATCCTCTCCCTGAAGCTGGAATGCCCAGAAGTGCTTGCCAACCCTGCCAAAGCCAACTTGAATTTCATCAGCAATAAATACACCTCCTGCCTTGTGCACATGCCTGTAACAAAACAGATTTGATTGTCTCTTCAAAGGAAAGAGAACACAGCATTTATTGTTTAGGAGCATGCAGAAAGTGTTACTTTGCAAACTTTGAGGAAACAAACACATAGAAGGCTGTACTGCATACTGTGTGTTTATAAGCAATCTTTGCCATATACAAAGTTCACGTTCTAACATGAAGGTTTGGGTAATTTCCTACCTGTCAAGCTTTGTAATATACAGCAGGCAGAGAATTATCTATTTACCAAATATGTTAAGTTAAAAAAGATAATGAATGACCACTTACTCTGCAACCTTCTGAAAATATCCTGCTGGGGGAATGATTTGACCACCAACACTTGGTAGAGATTCAACAAAAAATGCAGCAATCTAAAACACAGCATATAATGTTTGAACACAATACAGAAAGTTGTGGAGCAAGCTCTTTGTCCTTAGATGGTTTTTGATTATTAATGTGACCTTTACTTTTTGACAAGTCCATCTCACTTAGTTTAGTAACACTGAATTGTACTTTCAATCAGGCACATTCATTTCTAAGACAAGACAAACAGTTAAGGAAATGATATCTTACCTTTCTGCCTCTCTTCTGTGCATGCTCAATAATATTTTTTACTTCATCAGCATAGGCTGTTACTGGATCTTCATGGTCTTCTCTATAAAGTCCTCTGTATGTGTCTGGAACAGGAGCCTATGCAAAGGAATAATATCCTACATTCAATATAGCATAAAAACAACTTCACTCAATTGACAAGTAATTGATAGGTATAGGCTGAAGTACATACCACGTGGACCCATTCCTTTTGTCCTTCTAGATTTCTGAATTTATATGGGCTTATGTCAATCAAAGATGTCAGATGTCCATGGTAAGCACTTAAAAAACAATTGGCACAACTAAATAGTAATTTCCTCAGTGTCAATAATTATTTAGTATTAGCATTCCAAATAGTACAAAGTAGCCAGCTGCTATCACCTGGTAGGAAATTCACTAACTTAAGCTGAGAACAGCTCTGCAATTTCTTTTCTATCAATAAGCTTAGTACTACTTGGATTTTTTTTTTTTTTTTTTTTCATATAAAGGATGCAGAGGGACAGGACTTGCCACTGGTGACTGGAATCACAGCAGGGAAGACCTGAGCAGTATCACAAGATTGCAGAATGGGAAGGGCCTATTTCTGAATATCCTCCAGCAATGGAGTTTCCTGTGACTGTAGGCATCCTGTTCTAATATTTGACTCCATTCATGCTGAAAGACATTTTTTCCTATGTCTTATCAAAATTCCTCAGGTTTGAACTTACATCTGAGGTATTTTTTCCTGTCACCATACATCTTCACAGCTGGCTCCCATGCTTTTGCTCCTTCCATGAGACAGTTGTAGCTGCAGTGAGATCTATCAGGCTGTCCCTTGTAGCAGAACAAACCCAGCCCCTCTCACTGCAGGTCACTGATGGCCCCTCCTTGCAGTGTGCAACAGCTGTCCTGGAGAGCCCAACCACAGCTCTCAGGGCTGAGCTGGCAAACACTCAACAGAGGCAAAAATTACTTCCCTCAGCTTCCTGGTTACAGTCTTTCTACTACAGGAGGATTTCAGAAATGCTGTGACCAAAACTGAGCCTTGTACCCCCAAAGTGCCAATGTACTCACTGGTCTAAAACAATCACATCCTGGTGTTTTGTGTACTGCCGTGCCAGTCTCAGGGCAAGGTCGTTGGCTTCAGACCTACAATGGAAAAATTCAGCAATTGTTTCATTGTGGATATCTTGAGTTTTGAAATCTAACTTCCCTTGCACTGCTCTTTGTATCTGCAGAGAACAGACAGAACTTGCTGCATGTTATGCACAAATTCCTCAGTAATCAGCACTCACTAGGGTAGGACTGTTCACCAGAACAGAATCCATCTTAAAAAGCCAGAGTACAGGAACTACTGAGTACAGAACTACTTTCTGAGAAACAATTTGGCTTTTCTTTTTCTTCCAGATGAAGTTTCCTTAAGAATGTGTGCCCCCCTCCCCAACAGAAGCAATGCATAGGTACATTTAATTTTGAGAATAACTGTCAAGTCAGAAGACAAATTAGACAAGAAACTAATACAGCAAATATTTACATTACTGTTTTGAGGTCCAAAAATAGAATAAAACTCTTCTTAAATAAAGCACAAGTTTAGTTCCCAGGTTGAGAGCTTGCACAACCAGACCCATGTTTTTATCAGTATCTAATCATCCACACCAGAAACTGGTTGTTGATAAGAAAGTGTGTCCTTGCCTGTATATACCTAGTAAAGCCCCTCTATCAATTTTAATGTATCCAACTTACCCAGAATTCAAAAAATAGAAGATGCATAATTTCTCAGGTAGTGTTTTTGAAAGTCTCTCTGCATAATCAACCATGTTGTCGTGAAGGTAACGAGAATTTGTATTTAACAACTGATTCTGTTCATGGGCTGCCTTCACTACATCAGGGTGACAGTGTCCAACTGCAAGAGAATGTGGAGAGTGCTTTGAGAGTTCTTCACATTACCCATGGTGTTCATTCACATGTCAGATTAACGCATTTCTCTAATAGTACAGAGATATTATCAGTAGGGCCTTAATAATGGTAAATCTTGTAAAAACATTTTTGTGCTCCTCAGAAGGTTTGAAGTTGCCTCCTACTGTATATAAGTTTTGTAGTTAGTACTGGAAATTGATCTGCTAAAACAAATAGTGTCTGATTTGATGCTTGGATTTAGACATTGCCACAGTTCAGGAGTTTGAGAAGATGCAGGTAAGATTTAATATCAAAGAATTACTAGCCCTGGGGTAGGGGTTAGGTTAGAGAGATTTCAAATCCTGTAAGAAAGCAGCAGTCACTTAATTATACACAATTAAGGCACCACGCTGAGCACACAGTGGTTTTGTGACTGTACACTTACCAGTAACTTTTATAAAACCATCAAAATGTCACTTTTCATTGTACAGTGAGGTGCTTTACTTGAGTTTCCATGGAAAAAAATCTGTATGTTTTAGACACATTTCTAGGAAGACCGGACAGGAAGCAAGTCTGGAAAGCACATTCACACACCCAAATTCAAGAACACCCCCAAACTACACGCTCAAGAAAGTTTCCTTCCACTTTTCCAATTAAACACCCTCTTCCCCAGCACAGTGCAACCACAGTAAAAGTCCTGCTTGTTCTTTGTTCTGCTTAAAAAACCAGCATCAAATAACATCCAGTGGCATGACTTTAGCTTACCATGAGCCACATTGTTTATGCAGTCTAGGTACTGTCTCCCATTCTCATCATACATATACTGGCCCTTGGCCGTGGTGATCTTCACTGGATCATGAGGAAAAAACAGCTTGCAAGAAGAGCTATGACAAGCATCAGAAAGCAAAATATCTTAGTGAGTTTAGTTCATCCTACTGGTAAAAGGCATTTTTCCTGTTTGCTGGCACAGTTATCCTGCTTTTGGCCCTTAAACCAAAGGCCTTGTACTCAGATTTTCTTAGATTAACAGGAAAAAAGCACACTCCAAACCTGAAAATCCTACTCAAGGGTCTAGCCAAAGCAGTAGGACTCACCTCTATAGTTTCATCCTGTCTTAAATGCAATTCCTTACTGTCTGTGCTGTCTGCCCTTTTTGTTCTTTTGTGTTTCTTACCTTGTGCTATGTTCTTTTTATTGTTCTTACTATGTTCTTGCTATTCCTGCCAAGGTTCTGATTTTCCAGATAGTTTGCTGCAGGTGATTGCTACAGCTTCACTAACCATAGCTAGAACACCGAGTTATTTTATTAGGCTGGCTTTACTTAAGTGCATTTGTTTTGTTTCACTTTTTGAATGAATTGCCAAACAAGTGAAATGGAAACACATCTGCCTAAGTGGGAGTTGCAGAGATTTGAGACTGAAGGGCAATGCCAAACTTCCACACTTCATTTAGTAAAAGATGGCTTATTCAGAAATAATTTGATGCTAAATACAAAGCCATTGTCAAATGGATGACAAAGGACAATGGTGAAGTAAGAAAGTGCTTCATTATCTTATCCCTCCCAGCAGGTATTTTGATACTTTCTCTGTGAGCTGGCAAAACAGTTGGGAGTTTTTCTAAGCTTCTCCCAACTGTCCAAAAGATGCTACGAAAGTGCTTGCAGAGGCTGGGTCAATGTTGCCAGTGGAAGGGCAAATCAATTGGAAAAAGATTTGATACCGAGTGTAATATTTTTCAGGTGCATGTAACTGGCATAATTCTACTTTCAGCCCAACTTTTGTAATTATACAGCACATAAAAGTAGCCTTAGATTTGAATATATATGGTACGAAAATATTCCCTCAGTTAAATAAAAGAGTTGTGTTGCCATACTTGGTGATCGTCTATAGAATTAAGACTTTAGGCTGCTTGAAACACCACCGATAATGAGAAGTTTAGAACTGAGTCTTGTACCTCATTCCGTCAAAGAGAACAGTCTTTTGTTGTTAATTCCATCACGGTTTTGGTATAATTAGTTTCCAGAAAAACGGGCTATAATATTGGCTGAGCCTGAATCTTGCCTGGCCCAGCACGGCCTCAGCCCCAGCCGTGCCTCCTCCTTAGAAAACGCTTTCTAAGCACTTTAGTCTCTAAACAGGCGTCCTCGGTATCATACGGGTTTTACAGCGCAGTTTCGTAATCCCCCTCCTTAAGAAAGGCTAATTCCTGTTAATTACAGCAGCGCACCGGGCTGTGCGGGCGCGGCGCTCCGGCGCTGCCGCTGTCTCCAGCCCGGGCGCGATGGCGCTGCCGCCGGGCGGGGCCCGCGCCTCGGCCCCGCTCCCGGCCACGTCCGGCGGCAGCGCCCGCCCGGCCCCGGCCCCGGCCCCGGCCCCGGCCCCGGCCCCGCCCCCGCCCCCGCTCCCGCAGCACTCACCCGACGAGCTGCCGCCGCAGGGCCAGGGTCTGCTGCCGGGAGCGCGGCTGTACCGCCCGCATGGCCGCCGAGCCGCCCGCGGGCCGGCAGCGGAGCGAGGGAAAGGAAGGGAGGGAAGGAGGGAGCGGCCGCCTCCTGCGGGGGCCGGGCCGGAGGGGAGGGGAGGGGCGGCAGCGGCGGAGAAGGAACGCGGGCACTGCCCGGCCGGAGAGCCAGGCACCGGGAGCGGGGACACGGGCACTGCCCGGCCGGAGCGCCCAGCGCAGCCCCGGCGGCTCCCGGAGCAGGGACACGGGCACTGCCCCGCTGTGCGCCCAGCGCAGCCCCGGCGGCTCCCGGAGCAGGGACACGGGCACTGCCCCGCTGTGCGCCCAGCGCAGCCCCGGCGGCTCCCGGAGCAGGGACACGGGCACTGCCCCGCTGTGCGCCCAGCGCAGCCCCCCCGGCTCCCGGAGCACGGGGCAGGTCCTGCGTGCGCCCGGAGCGGGGCCGGAGCTCGCCCAGGGACCCGGCGGGGCAGAGCAGCCCTTCCCTCCCAGGCAGGAGTGGGGACAGATGGGGACAGGCTGCGGCCCTGGGGCCCTGCAGGGCTGCTGGCAGCTCGCCCTTAAGCCGCACACCCCAGGGCTTTACCCTGCTTGGGTTCATCCAGCCCCACACCCCACTCACCTCGGGCTCTTCAGGATCATCAGTACTGCTATAGCATTCTTTGTTTGAAATACACATTGAGGAAGTTTCTTTTCTAGTTGAAAATTTTTAAGCCAAAGTGGTAGAAGTTAAATAATTCTTCCACATCACTGTTAAAGCAGAAGTAAACCCAGCCTTTTACGTGTTGTACCCCTGTGTTTGGTTGGTGGCGGATAAGGAGACACCTGACTGACTCCTTCAGAGCCAATCCTAAAGCAGGTAATAGTTAGGATTAAAAGAGGAAATGCTGTCAATCAGATTAGAATGATCTTTCTTCCATTCCTGTTTGACTGGAATTACCTAAAGAAAAATAGGATAAAGAACCAGAAAGGAGGTTCTTTGATGGATTGAGTTCTGCTAGGTGTATCCCATAACCAAGTTCATCAACTTTTCCAGCTTGATTCTAAAAGATGACACTTTTTTTTCCTTTCAAATACATGTTCACATTCTTTTTGGTTTAAACTGACAAATAGCGTTTAAAAATTCTAGAAAAACAGAACTGATAATTTTAAAACTACACTTGGCAGACTTTGCTCACTAGATATAGCCACCAATAATTATCTCTAGCTGCAATTACTTGATGAACACAGGAGCAGTTTAAATTTTGTGCAATATGGAGAATGCAAAACCAAATTGCTGTGTGCTTAAAGTTAGATTGAACTTAGTCTAACTACATTGTTTCATAAAGGTCAGGTTTTAAGGAACAAAAAGACAGTGGAGAAAAAGTTAATAATGGTTGTTAATCTTTATTTGAACTCTTGTCTGGTTAAGATATTTACTAGCTATTTATAATGACAACCTGAACATTTACAATTTGGAAAGTTTACTCTTGGTTACAAATGCAGAGTTCATTATACATATTCACACAATTGTAAAAGTAATCTGTACAGAGAGACCATTTTATAAAATTGAGTCTTCGCTTTTATTAAAAAAAGCACAAGAAAAAAAGTTTTTTTAGGTCTCAAGGTAATGCATTGTCCATTACAGCTTTAAACTAGAAATACATGATGCAGTACTAATTAATACCATTTTAACATGTTAAAACAATGGATAAGAAATACTGTTATTAATGCCTTCATTTTTAAAGTAGTTGTTCCCCAAAGAAGAGTAAATAGAATACTTTTCGTGGCACATACGTTATCAAAAGTCACAAAAAGTCTGCAAATGGAGATGTTAAGTACATTTTCTGTAATTTTAATATCTATATATTTCTTTTCAAAGGTCATATACAGAGATTTAGCCAGTTCTGTATAAAATATCATGTAAATACATTCAAAACTCATTTTTGGCAAGCTGCAAACACACAAACAGCCCTTTCTCCTCTGAGCAGCCTCCCTGGAGTGATGCAACCACTCAAGTAGATAAGGGACACTTGCATAACGTGGTGGAGGATTAAGCTCTATTGACATAATTTCAAAACAAGTATGGACAGATAAGGCACATGTTGGATTATTTTTCTAAACTGTACACAGATTTGAGGTATCAGCAGGTACAGTTTCTCAAATGCTGTTGCACACACCGGTTTTGTATAATGTCTATGTCCAAAGTTATGTAATGCAGTAATTTCAGTTTTGGCTGTGGTATTTGTGCTGAACATTCTTCATATTCAATATTTTTGATTGTTTTTAAGATAGCAGAAAAAGAAACCCAAACTGAAACTCAAAATGCTGTTATGAAATAGTTTATAAAACTGCAGTCTATGAAACAAACCAGCAAACACAAGAGGCTCCAGCTCTCATTTGCACTGATGGCAGCTTAGGACCTTTCCTGCTAAATTTACAAGTTCAGTGGATACCATGGGTGCTTTTGCTATGCAAAACCAGACTTTAATTTTTTAATGTAATTTTCAAGAAATGCAAGTTTGATAAGCACTGACACTTAATAAGTTCCTGTAAAATGAACTTTTTAATTACAGTGTTTAACATTATAATAAAAAGCAGTAGGTGATCAGTGTAATTTACAGATACTTGGATCACCTCCTTTTAAAGTTTCTTTTCATTAATATCTAAGTTATGTAAGAAACCACACAAGTGAGCTGACACAGAAGTGAGCTGACTCTTCCATGAAACCACTCTTGAAGGCAACTTCTAGCAGAACTTTCAAAAAAGGAATTAATTGTTTGTCCTAAGTCACAGGAAAACCACAAATATTACTAATGTATTTCTTACTCCACTCTCTTGTCAATAATTCAACTTATGCATGGAAAACTTGTGTTTCCCAGCCTTGCTGTGATTACCCCCAGGCTCCCTACAGTAGTATACAATAATATCATCTATTAAGTCCTTCCTCCATTCATATCTAAGTGACAGATTTTCAGCACTGACCTTAGCTGCAGGTTACACAACAGCCACACATCCCTTGTGTTGAGCCATCTGATGGGACACAAGCACATGGCAAAGTTGCAGTAGCTCCCCTGGGGATGTGAAAGTACTAAAAGCAATTTTTAGCTTACAAATATAAATTATCACCAGGGAAAATAAAGTTTAGGAATTTTTTTTTTACTCACTGGTTTGCTTCAGTCTGTCATAGATCCCCCAGGTGGAGCTCTGGAGTATTTCAAACTGAAGTAATTATGGTCAGGTCCAGTGCAGTGCCAGGGACATGGTTAAAAGGCAGGTGACTGCAGTGACACTGAGACTGGACTAACTAGAGTGACCAGTTTCTCTCTGCCCCTTCCTTTTTGTTAAAAAAAGAAAAAAAAAATAAAAACCAACCCACTATTGCAAAGGGTCAAGAAATGTGCTTACATAAACTCTGTCCTGTAAAGGTGCCAGGTTCAGTGTGTGCCACAGTGATTGCCTTGGCAAGTCAGAGTGTCACAGGCCTTTTGAAATTACCCATATGTGTAACTTCTCACTTGAAACTCTCCTGGTTAAACCTCTGCAAGGCTGGCTGTGCTGCTCAGCGTGTCAGCCTGCCCTGAACAGGTAAAAAGCAGGAATTTCAAATTAAACAAAGCAATACTGAGGTTCTTTCCACCTCTGGACACTCCTTTCTCTGCTGGATTACAGTGGAACCAAACTCACTGATCGGAATTCAGCCACATACCTGCACTATTTGTCCAGGATGAATGGTTTGGGGACATGTAAATTTTTATATCTTAATAATTTACAGTTATTAATATTTTGCATATCTTAGAGAGAAATCTGTTGCCCACAAAGAAAATAATTCAGAGCTTCCATGCTCAAAATTTTAAAAATAGAAATGTGTCAGGAAACCTACTATAGGTAGATTATATGTGCATAATGCTGTAAATTATCTGGGGAACAGATAATTTACAGAGATGTGTCCCAGCATTTATCTGGGGCTGAAAAAACATAAGAATGCAGTTGTATTTCCCAAGAAAGAAATACCAGATTTGGAAAAAAAAGTTCTATCCATGCACTCCTGGTTTTACAAATATCTGTTCAAACTGTAGAGTTACACAAAAGTCATGTGTGCTGTAAATTAAGAGACACTGTCACAGCACAAAATTTGCATAAAATTTGCTTCTATTTTAAAAAGTCTCCTCTAGAGGGCAGCATTGAACCAGCATTCACCTTTGTAATGCACACATTACATCGACAGGCCAGGGGAGTTATTTACCATTATGAGAAAGCTGAAAACTTCATGGCATCTTAATAGTTCAATTAATTTTTATTACTTATTTTAATCAGTTGTGCGTTACAATGTGTGAGTTCTTGCATTCTTGCCCAAGACCTGCCATATTTGGCTGAGTGCAAAACCAAAACTTTACCCAGGATAGTGGTTACTGTAAGATTCTTAAAACTACAGGTGTCATTTTACTTTGCATTGTTGCATGGGATGTCTTAAATTGCTGAAACCTCCCACGTTTTGCTGGTTTGCTTAAGGATTTCAAATGCTGAATTTATGAAATTACAGAAGACAAAAGCTCATCTAAATATTTTATCTATTGGTTTCCTAAAAAGAAAACACATCAGAAAGTTGCTTGCCATTAAAAGAAACAATCTTATTTTTAAATACACAGGAGAAAAATCCATACAGAAATAAATTCATCACCATCATATATACAGGAAGTGTCAGGAGCAGTGCATACAGAAGAGGTGACTCCCCATGGGAATAAAACAAAGCATGTGCCAATGTCTTGATTATGATGTTTTTAAACTAAAATATTGATGAATTGACACTTGGGAACAGTTCCAGTTTGGGGTCAGATGAGGATTTCTCTGCCACCTGTTTTGTAATCCAAAAAAATTCCTGAATTCACTGGCCAAGCCGTGACTGAGCTGCAAAACTCTTAATTAATCACATTTGTCCCCATGAGAACAGGCCAAATTATTGGGTTCATGCTCTGGCAAGGTTCCTCTCAAGCTGTGCAGTTACACACATGGGGTTTTTTGCCTTATTCCCTTCTTCCCCAAATCCATCCTCCCCAGAAGCTTTAGCGAGCGCTCCCATACTCAGCTGGGTGCAGCAGCAGCACTGACACAAACACAGGCAGCAGCAGCTCCTCAGTCACAGCATGCACATCCTGTGTGTCACAGCAAGGCAGCCCTGCCTGCAGAGCCTGGGGGCTGGAAAACCTTTTAGGGGTCTCAAGAGAGTTCTTGTGCCCTTATGGTTCAGTTTGGGAACTTTGCTTCCAAAACTCACTCGGCTATAGTGTGTTAAGAGAGGATGGTGGTGGTGACTGGAAAGATGTCACTGGCTACAGTTTGAAATAGAACAAGCCTTACAGAAAACTGTGTGTCCTCTGCTCCATGGTTGCCTTAACCTCATGGAAAGCACCATGCAGTTAAATTAGAGGCAGGAATTTTGTTTTGTCAACTAAAAACCAAAAATATTCTTGTTTGAGTTTCAGGTTCCCCCAATATCTGTAACTTCAATGTGTTACTCAGAATGTCTACTGATAAATCTATGAAGTTACACTAAATATTTTAGGGATCAAGAAAAATCAGTGGCTCAGTCTCAGCCTGACCCACATTTCATAAGCATTAGCAGCCTCTCTGTCACTCATATTCATTGCTGCTGACATATAGTGGTAACATTCAGCTGCTTTTTGGAATTGCTGTAAAGCAGTCTCAGATTCTTTCAAACCAGAGGGGAAAACAAAAGAAGAGAGATTCCTGGGGGAAAAACTCCCTAAGTTTTGTGAAAGGCTGAGATCATGACTGAGTTTTGAGCAAGGCTGCCAGTACTACCTAGAAGTAAAATTTGTCTTTGTGAGCTATTCACAAAGTATTCAGAAACACCCACATAAACATTTTCATATGGAAGGAGAAAATAATCAACTGATCTGGCATGAATTTGCAGAGCAAAGCACATCTTTTCAACTCACTGCAATAGGATCATGACTGCTCTGTATTAAACAACTGCTCTTCTAAATATGTTTGTGTGTAAGGCACATGGAAGTCTAAACAGATTTCCTCTTAGACTCTGTGTAATCAGTACAAAACCCAACAGTTTCTCTGATAAAGTCTGTTGATCTGGATGATGTGATTGATGATCACAGGATGGCTGGGCTTGGAACAGTCTTTAGAGGTGATTGAGGTCCAGCTGTGTGCCATGGGCAGGGAAGCAGGGACACTGTTCAGAATCTAAAGGCCAAATGCACCAATCTGAGCTGAGGACCAGGCAGGGCTTCAGGTGCCCTGCTGGGGGATCCACTCCCTGCTCTCACAGGGCTCTGCTCCTTTGCTGATGAGGGGATGGCAGAGTGCTTGTACCACCCCAAGGAGTGGGGAGAGATCCAGAGACCTGCTGGCTCCTCAGATGAGTTCCTCACAGCCCCAGTGGCAGCAGTGTGCAGCAGGATTCCTGCCACCATTCCTGATGGCGTGGCAGCAGCAGGAGCCCAGAGGAGCCACTGCACCTGAGCAGTGACTCCAATGTCCTGAACATTCCTGAGTGGCTGCACGTGCACAATGATCTCTGTACATGCAGAACCAAGGGCCTTTGCCTGGGAACTTCCAAAGGGGGTCACAAAAAGGTTTGGTAGCTGAGCTGCAGCACTGGTGGGGTGGATACAGCTGTGCTAGAGTGGCAATTCCAGCCTTCCTCCACTACAAACAAATGGCTCGGGTGCTGTGGCAGCAGAGGCTCTGTGCTGGGAGGGGGATGGTGGCCTTGCAGAGCTGTGAGAGGGTAAAGCACTATTCTGGTATTCTGTGTCAATGTTTTGCAGGCCTGGCAGTGGTCACAGTTGATGCCTACAAGCACTGGATATTCCACAAGTTGAAGACGGAATACTGACTTGTTTACCTGAAGATAATAGGACTTCGGGGTATTTCCTCAGAGAAAATATAAATTTTAATATAATTTCATAAGCTTTGGAGGTTAGCTTGTCTTGTAGCTTCAGTGATATCAAACTTCTTCAAGTAGGAGCTAGATAGAAAGCTGTTTAGTTTTTGCCAGCGTATGTAAAACAAGACTTTTCTATCTGCATTGTAGATTGTTTGTGGACACTTCCAGATTCTTGTGCTTTCTGCAGTCATTCTGGGGACTGAACTCTCATTGATATTGAAAGAAGTTCCATGAACACGACATGTGCAGGAATTTGAGTGTAGAAGCCCACAGTGTGGTTTGGAATAGTGAACTGCTTTTAGTTTGGAGATGACTGGGGGAGATGGGAAGAGCAACTGTACATTAAGGGAACAATTACAGATCTTCCTGGTGACATCAATGAGAGATTTGCCTTCAACCTTTCACAGAAAATTTTTTAACTTTAATTTGGGATATTAAAGGGGTTTTTCAAAAGCACTAAAGGCCAGTGGAAGCTTGTTAGCTGCTCCTTATGCCTTTAAAAACCCCTGCACCAAAAGTGATAGCCGAGAACATGAAATGGAAGTAAATAAAATGCATTTTCATTGCTGTTTTGAGTTACATAATTGTTGTTTCTTGATTTGTTAGTTGATCTGAATTTAACATGGATTTAATCTGTATGGTGACCAAGGAAATGGTGAGTAACTGCTAGAGATGCCAAGTACAGCCACAAAGCCAGTGATGTGTAGGAGTAGCCCCTGAGCAGCCACAATGCAGTGCCCACAGCCCTGAGGCTGTGTCACCTCTGCAGAGCTTGGTGGCCATGGCAGCATTGACCAGCACAGAGCACAGCCTGACTGCTGGCATAAGCTCAAGGACACCCAGAGGGCTCAGACACCGTCACCCTCCCTGTGTGCAGCACAAAGCACATCCCCATGTTGTTCACAATATCAGAGCAGCACATCCAGCACTAGGTCAGCCTGGGCAGGGCAGGGAGCACCTGGACAGTCCCATCCCTCTCTGGCAGTAGCTGCACTGAGAGTGGCAATGAAGCAACAATCTTAACAGGTTTTGGGTCTACTCAGTGCACCAAAACTCCCTCCCTTCTGTATTCTCTAAGAGCAAGGCCACAAAGAGCCATAATACCATGTTTGATATTACAGTCAGCTCCCAATTTCACCTAAAACTCCCACTCAGAACCCAGCAACTTGTATTGAGCAAAGTATTTCCTCCAGCCATGATCTGTTAAATCAAAAGGGCATAAGGGTGATAGCAATTATATCACGGATCTGGTTGGAATTAACCAATTTTACCAATAAAAATCCACAGATTACTGTTTTCAGTTTATGTTGCTTCAACTTCTACCCATTGGATGAGTATTTGTATATCTTTCTCTGTGCTGTTTAAAAACTTGTTAATACAAAGTATCTCCTCCCTGTAAAGGAATCTTCTTGCTTCTTGATTTTCATTGTAAGCTGAACAGACTCGGCTGTAAGCCATCTTCTTCCTCTTTGAAATATTTTTTTATGGCTCTCTGCTGCACAATTGCTGTTTTTTCAACAATCTTAAAAATGTTGAACTGTGGAATAGTTTGCAATTTTAATTGATCCCACAGTGGCATATGCAGATATCAAAATAATAATGATTTTTATCCACTACCCTGCTCTGCATGGGATGTGCCTGAGAAGAGATAATGTAACAAAAGAGACTGAAAAGGTTGAAGAAAATAAGACAACAAGAGGAGAGTGCAGAGTTAGTTTACAGTTAAAACCATGTAAACCAAGAAGAAATAAAAAGCAAAGGAACCCCACAGACCAAGTCAATTAAATACTCCAAACTCCCAATTTCTGGGAGCCCCAAGAGCAACATTGTGTGCTCTGTTGTTTAAGAAGGGACTCGAGCAGAGCCTTGCCTGTCCTGCAGCTCCCTGCACTGCACTGAAAGCATTGCCAGGTTTTTCTGGTTTGAAATTCTGCAGCAGAGGCTTCCTGGGGAATTTGTGTTCCACAGTAACAAAGTGCTGGCACATCTTCAGGCTCAGACCCCAGAGCAGGACCCAGAGGTGCTTCCTCTTGAGGGAAGAGGTTTCTCTTGATTGTAGAGGAATTAACCACAGGCAGTCAAGGTTGTTCAGTTTAGCCCCAGAATTGCTGTTTCCATCACGCCCACAGCAGGTAGTGATGGATGGAGCTTGGCTTTGTTTCCTCTGCAGGTTGCAAATCCTTCTCCTGCTTGACCAGACAGCAGACAGCAGCTTCTTCCATTTTTAAGGCTGCATCCTTCTTTTCTTTGTTTTCAGCCAGGTTTTTTCACCCTTTTAATGTGCATGTACAATGCAAATATGAAGTTGAGAGCCAAGTGAGGATTTTGCCCTCCTTCATGCAGTAAGGCACACGAGGCTGGCTCAGTACTGTTAGTTCACACTGCAGCATGAGCAGGGAACACTGTTCATCCTCAGCTACTGCCATCTGTACCTTTAGCAAATCCTGGTGTTACCATGCAGTGCTGTGGGTTTGGGAGCTTTACATTATTTTCCAAGTCCATAAATGTCAGAATCCAGTATAAAAAAAGGTCAATATATTACTGTCAAAAGTTTTTTTTTTTCCTTTTTTTATACAAAAATTAAAAAGATCAAAATATATCACATTATTTACATATTGTGCTTCATGCTTAGAGATCACTGAAAAAGAACACACAAACAAACATTTTAATCAGAGAAATGCTCCATTCATTACACTTACTAACTTTACTGTTACTATAAGGATTGGCACTCAGATTTCTTTGTTAGTAATGGTACATCCAAACAAATCACAAATAGTTAAAACCTTTGATATATCAAGGGTGTGCTGACATTCTAACTGAGGTTTGCAATCAGTTAGTGGCATGCTGTTAACTCCAGCTGTGTCCACATACCACATGTTTACAGCTGGGTTTGTAATTCCACTCAGCTTCAGTGTCATACTCTTGTTGGAGAATGAGGATTCTCTTACAAGTCTGGATCAAATCCTCATTTTACAGGAGGACACATCTCTCCTCATTCTCCCAAGCTGCCAGTAGCACTTCCAGCCCCTGGCTGCTCTGGGTGCAGGAGATGCTACAAATTCCCTGAGCACTGCTCCCAGGGTGCTGATCAGAGCACTGAGGCAGTGCTTGGGAGTTATAATTACAATGGCAGAAGAATCTTTGTTAGAAAATAAATATTTGGAACGCTGCCACAAAGAGAGAGCCCATTGTTAGCTTCTCAGCTGGGAGGGTGTGGACTGAGAAAGGCACAGGAGCGCCTGGTGCAGCCTTTCCTGGGTGGTTCCTGAGCTCCCTTGGCCTTGATAAAAGCCCAAACAGGCCTGTAAAAAGGCATTCTCCTGACAGTGTTAATGATTTGTCATGCTTAGCAAGTTTTTGGTGTTCCCAGCCCCAGTCCAGAGCTGGGGGGAGCAAGCCCTGAAGCTGCTGGAATTCTGCTCTCCCAAGGAATAATGCCATGTCTGCCAGGCCTGTGAGCTGCTGCTTAAAGCATGTGCAGCAGAGCAAACAATCACAATGCAGGGAGCAAAATCACTCAGGACCTGTTCAAGAATAAACAATTAATAATGTTACTGTACCTTATGCCAACATCCTGCTACTGGCAGTCCGTCTGGTCCCTGCAAAATTCAATTTACAGATTCAGTTTTCCTGACAGTGACTCAAGTGTCAGACCCAAAAACCTCAAGCTCATTGGTCACAATGGAAGGCTTAACATCACTGTTAATTACCATGCAAAACCCATTTACTGTATATGCAGAAACATGAATATGCAGGCAATGTAATCCATATGTCACGCACAACACAAAATTAAATACACCTCAGGGGAAAAAAATAAATTGGAAATCTACACTTTTTTTCCTTTAAACAAAGAAAATGTGTACAAAGAGATTTGAAATCACAGTTCATCAACTTCATAATCTGCTTTATAAGGTAGTGTATTTTGCAATCAGACATATATATGGAAAGCATGATGTGGGAATGTATTTTTTGTTAAAATGTGCTTTTCTGTTTGGGGGGAGGTGATGTAGGTATTTTTTTCCTAGATGGTATCCTAATTGTGTTAAATTTGATCCTGCAGTACTTAGTTTCATTAAGAAATCTTGAGTTGCTGAACTGAGAATAGGATGAGTTGTGGACTATGCAAAGGGAGTGAAAATATTTGTCATGTTCCACTGGAGATACAAGAAACATAGAAAAATCAGAAAGCAAGAAGAGCTCTCATTCCAGGAGGAGAACACTGGAAAGGAAGGAGCCCTTAGAAGAGGAATGAGCTATGTATGACCAGCTCTCCAGACACCTCAGAAGAAATAGCTGACTTCTGCTGCCTTTCCTGATGCTGGATTTGTTTAAGGCTCTTGGATCTCCAATTCCATGAATTTCTGCATGTAGAGCCACAGAGAGCACACAGGCACTGACCCTTCCCTCAGAGCCACCTCCAGACTCACTGGGGCTGGGAAGATGTGGATGCAGCAGAGAACTGCTAGTGCAAATACAGGTCAAAATGCAATTTTACATTTTTTACTGTAAATGTTAGTCATCACATTTTTTGTATTCTGTATTGATTTTATATGTAAAATAGCCTATGCCCAATAAAACAGATGCAGTGAAGTAGGGTAACCCTCTCCAGCTACTCAGAGTGTAAGCAGTCATGCTTTCCTGTAACTTTTCCTTAGTTAGAAAACACTTTTTTTTTTTTTTCTGCAGACACAGTCAATATTTTGGTCCAAAGCTATTAAAAAAAAAAGGGTAAAACACGTACATTTGCCAGAGTTGTCTGGTGTGATGGGTACAAGGGGACAAGGTGCAGGGTGGCTGTTTGACCTAAAACATGCTGACCTGCTGCAAAGGTCACCCTAACACTGATGGTCAGGGGGTTTATCTGTGTCCTGAGCTATTTCTCCTTCTTATTTTGGCCATCATAAAACTCCACATCTTTCTACCATGTTTTACTTGAGTGACTCCAAAATGACTTTTCGTGGTTGTATGTGGGGATCATGCTGGTGCTCCTGGACTGAAAGCCCAGCAATCCTCCTCTGCACCCTGCAGAACAAAATCAACATTTCAACCAAACTGCAACTAACCAGGAAGATGCACAAGTGCTTTACTGACTGGTCATGTTGTAGTTAATTGGAGGAATGTAATTGGAGGGATCACCTACTGCAGCTCACAATGCCTTCAGCAGAGATGGGTCCTGTGTTTTCTGTGTAGTTAAGATGGGAGATGCTTGGGAAATAGAACATCTCTGGGGAGTAAGTAAGAAGTTAGAGCAGGCCTGCTGTTAGGAATTGGTTTCTTGGACACATCTGAAAGTAATTTAACTTTTTGAAAGAGAAACAGCTTACTGCCCTTTTTGTTTCTCTGAGGACAACTGCAAATCATCTAACACGCAGCATTTTCTATGGTTGAAAAAATGAAAATAAAACAATGACCTCTCTTAGCTAGTGGTGCAGAGCTCTTTTGGTGAGCAGAGCACAAACCTTCCTGCATAAGCACTGGACCCAACCTGAGCTCTGGGCAGAGCTCTGTGCTGGCACAGCAAAACCCAGAGCAGTGGCCCTGCTCTGCAGGACTGGCTGCTGCTGTTTGAGGAAAGCCTTTCAACCCCAGCTGGGGATGGGACTCAGGGCTGCAACAGCACACGCACAAGGGGAACCAAACTGGGCTATGGGTACTGAGAGAAACTTTGAGCATCTGCTACCAGAGTTTGAGCATCTAAAAAATGTTTGAAAGCATCTAACTTTGAGCATCTGTTACCATAAAGGGACTGGCATCCCCTGTGTGATCTCACATGATTTATACTCATCTAAAATTATTATAACTGGGGAGAAGAAGGCCCCACACATTGGCATCCTTCCCCAAATGCCAGAGTGAAACACTCCAGCTTTGCTGCCCTGTGTCCTTCCTCTCCCTGGAGGGGTTTGCTCCTGGGGCCACAGCAGGAACACACACAAACCATGCAAGACACAGCAGATAATACTGTACCAAAGGGCAGGGCAGGCTCAGCCCATCCAGGCCTGCCAAACCTGGGCCCCTTTTGCTGCCTGCAATGCTATGATCTCCCTGTTTGGAAAAATAACTGCTTGTTGAGGATGACAAAGGATACAGGAGTTACACAGACAGACAGCCATGTTTCAGCACAGGGGGAGGAGGATGGGTCTAGAGCTTCACAGCTCCATTTCTGATGACACAGCAGTCAGCAGAGCGGTTTTATGGTAGGGAATTCACATGACATGTGGAGTCTGCCACCTGGGGAAGATCCTCTGTACACAAACCAGAGGTTCATATTGTAAAAGTGCAGTTAAAGACATAAAGGGTAAATCACCCAACATGTAAAGAGAGGAAAAAATTAATTGCTGTTCCCATTCAATCTCCAGGCAAAATAAAGCATGTTGACTAAAGGAGCTCATTGCTGGTGTAGTGAAGCTACACAACAGCCTTGGCTGCCATGGCTGTGCTCAGAGAGTGAGGAAAAGTCACACATTCAGAGAAGAAATGGGGTTTGAATTGTCATGGAGCAAGCAGCTGGCACTCTTAATTAGGTGCTTCTGGACTAAGTTCTAAACAGCTACATATAAGCAGTTGCAGTTCCATTTTTGATACTTCTCATCCTGCAGTTTCAAAGCACTGCAGGGAGAGGACCTCTCTAGTTTTAGTCATTATATGAGAAACAGTAGTGAAAAGGAGGTAAATTTTACCAGGTCAAATAACTTCTTATAAACCACTCTATTTTTTTTTTTTTTTTTTTGGTGGGCTCTATCTAATGAATGAAAGGCTCTGGAAGTGGACTTGGGGGATGCAGCTACCCCAGGCTCAAACAGCCAGGAGGTTTCCTGGAGAGCCCAGTGGTTCTGTGGAATGGACAGCTCTGAGCCACAGACACACAAACCGGGGGAGGTTTCTCCTTCCAGGGGCACTTCCTGACAGCCTGGGGAGCTCCAGCTCATACATCATTTATGCTTGGCAGAGCTGTGATGCCATCAACCCCAACATGCTTCCCCTGGCTCATCCCTCACTCAGTTTGCAGGGATGAAGGGATGGAGCTGGTCTTGTTTTCAGATCAGCTCCCATCCCCTGCACCCAGTTACTCCCTGATTTCAAACATGTCCAGAAGCCAAGCCAGCGGCATCACACTATCTCCTGAAGAGCTCTACTGAGGTCCATTGTTCCTGACTACAATAAGAAGGTCTTCACACAAAGATGCTTTATTTTTACTGCTGTGGTTTGCTCCCATCTGGCCAGTGAGGAGCCTCACAGCCAGCAGTGAACTTCCAGCAGTGCAGATAAACCATTAAGAAAAGTGAGAAAACAATAACCATCTGCTCTGATTTACTGCAAAAGAGAGAACTCCCAAATCCTCCCTGGCTGCAAAGCTGTGTCTCCTTTTCAGCCCCTCAGCCTGTGCTTAGGATGAGTGCAATGGAAAACTTACCACAGGACAAGGCTGGTCCAGTCCAGGGGGGCCTGGCTCCCCCTTCTGTCCTTTGGCCCCTTTTCTCCCTGGTATTCCTCGCTCACCCTGTCAGCACAACAGGAGGATATCAGGGCCAGGGGAAGAAACACCTTTGGTTCATGTCTCACAACACTCACAGTGCCAGTCCTCACCCAGAGTAAGGACACTTGCACTGGTGTGACCTCAGCTGAGCAGTGGAATCGCTGTGAAAATCTTCAGTTAAAGCTGGGTGGAAATACTGCAATGGATTATTTTATAACAGATTGACTGAATGAGCAGTTTCTGCTGGAGCCCAGGTTGCAATCTGACAGAAAATGGGAGCAGCAGCTTCCAGCTCAGCTAGGCTCCTGGCTCCACCTGGGTGCCCCTTTGTTTAAAGGTCCCTGTAACACAGCCTTTGACTTGGATCCATCTTCAAGGTCTATAAACCAAGATCAGTGATTCTGTGCAACCTGGAGCTGTCAGGCTGCTCCATTTCCCCACAATGCTCAGGTGGGCTGGGGAGGGGGCAGGCTTGCAAAAACCCTTCCAAGAGGGTAAGAATTAACTGCCTGTCCTGCCTTGTGCTGGGAAATTGCAATTCCCTGGGCTGCACAGAAGGCCTTGAGCAGTGGCTCCCAGGGCAAGCAGCACTGTCCTGCCCCACAGCATCAGCACAGCCATTCCCCACTCACCTTCTCGCCTCTTTCACTTCTCTCTCCTTTCTCTCCTCTGAGACCAGGGAAACCCTGTCACCACAATTTTTAGGTGGGAAAAAGGAAAAAAAATAAAAAAAGTTTTGTAAGTTTAGTGTGTGAATGGCTCAGTTCAACATGAGCCAACTCCAGCCATCAGCCTGTCCTGCCATGGTGAAAAATGACATTTTCTCAATGTTGACTTGGTATGTCAGCAATTTCTTGGAAAAATGGAGTGCTTCACCACACCCCAGTAATATTACTATTAACATAATATTATTATTATTATTATTATAACATATACTATTCTACTAGCTATTAGAAATTTTCATGCCACTGAATCCAATACAAATATTCTCAGCTGGAAAGGGAAGCCCTGGCAGCACCTTCAGGTGAGCATTTCCACTGTGCAGTGGAAGCAATGGGCCTGAATTCAGCCCTTCCTACAGCCATCATTCCATGACCATTGTGTATATACAGTGTTAGCTACATATTTTCCCAACAATCTCAAGTTAACTGTGTGTTACTTGGGTTTCTACCATGAATAATTCATGTTTTCCATACTCACATCCAATCCTGGCTCCCCTGGCTTTCCCTGCAGATGTAAAAATGACAATTAGGACGTGCTGTGTTGAGCTTGGTGCTGCAGACAAGCTTAGATCAGTTGGTTTAACGTGGCAGTGAGGGCGGGGCTCACCCAGGAGCTCTGGGACTGGGGGCTGCTCCTTTGCCACCCACCAGGGCAGGGCTGATCCAGCTCTGCAGCTCTGGCTGGATTCCCCACAGCAGGATTTTACACCCCCATTTCAGGATTGCACCCCAATGTCCCTGCTCCTCTCCCACACCCGTGATTACCTTTTCTCCTTTGGTACCAGGTAATCCAATGAGCCCTGGAGCACCAGGGAGACCCTTAAATTAAAAACAAACAAAGCATTGGGATTGTTTCCTGTGAGCGGTTTCTGTCAACAGCCAGAAATGACATTTGGGAAAACAACTCACAGCAGGTCCGGTGTCACCTTGGTCCCCCTTCTCCCCACTGTCACCTTTCTCTCCCTTGGCACCATCCAGACCCTGCAGACATGAAATGGATCAGCCAGGGATCAGCCCCCCATGCACCCCCAGCTCCTGCCCCTTCCCTGGGGTCCCACACCCACACTGCTGCTGAGGCTTTGCTCCTGACCACATCAGCTAAGAAAACAGCTGAAAATACAGGTTTTAAGCCTTTTGGTTTGGAAACCCTGGCTCTCACCAGCCCTCAGGACTCTGTGCTGGAGGAGGGGTTTGGATTGTAAATGCTTGGAAGGAAAAATGGCTTGTTTTCCAAAATGCCAACTGCTGAACAGTAACCAAGGGATGTGTTGTGACAACAGGGACAAAAAACTCAGTCTCCAGAGCTGACAGGCTTTTGTGAGCCTGTAAATAATGCACTAGCAGCTGGGAAACTGGGTGACATTTAATTTATTGACTTACTTTAGGCCCCTGGATTCCTGGAGGACCCTGTGGGAAAGACAGTGGCGCATTTGAAAAAAACACAGAATTTAAAATCATATCCAAAACTTTCCTTCCCAAACAATTTCTTGCTCAAATTACAGGCTGACAATGGTCAAATACTTGTTTTCAAGACAGGTGGCAGTTTATTTTGTTCTCCAGTATCAAATCAGGGGGCAGGGGAACTGAAAAGGAGAATTCTGTGTAACATAGGACAATAAAACTCTGCAACACAAGCTCTGGGGAGTGAGAGCCCCCAGAAGCTTTGCTGAAGAAAGTGACAGGAAGCTCTGGGGGTGGCATTGTGCCACCACAGCCCTCCACACCAGGGCAGGGCTGGGATACCCCCCAGGCTGGGAATGCCACCTGAAATGCTTTTGAAGCACGCTCTCTCAAGGTGAATCTTGGACCCAGCAGAGAAATCCCGGCCTTCCCAATGTCCCTGACAGCTCCTTTTGGAGCATTGTAGGCACCAAACCCCTTGGATGTCTCCATCAAAAATTCTCTGTGTGTTCATCACCACCTGCACCCTCTCCCAGTGCAGCTGATGGCAGAAACCTTGAGGACTTGGGTGAATTTAGGGGAATAGAGATGCTGTCATGGTGGGGAACAGGTTTTCCATCACACAAGATTTTATCTTTTCTCCCAAGGAACAACTTGGATTTGTGCAAAATGAGCCGTAAACTCTGATGCACTCTCCTAAATCGGGTGCTTTCATTTCTCCAAGGACAGATCAGACCGTAGCACTTCCCTGTTTTTTTTTTCCCAGATTCAAGACAGCCCAAAATGATTAAACAGAACAAACCACCCTTGTCCTTTATCACATACAATAATAAATCTGCAGGAATCACTTCAGAGTCCTACCATAGGGCCAGGTAATCCAGGGGGTCCAGGCTCAGGGATGATCTGCAGAAAGGAATTTAACAGCACATTAACAAGGCTCTCAGGAGTGAAAATCTCACAAAGCCCAGAATCATCATTTAATGTCCAATTGATTACAACAGCAGCATCCAATATCTCAACCATCAATACAAAACCTAAATAACTTTGTAGTGCTATGTGTGTGAACTGCTCTTCCCTAAGGAATAAATCCCATTTAGACACTTGTAGAAAACTTGGGTTTTGCTGATGGATATGGGACTGGTGGGTGTGTCCTGAACCCCAACTTTGCCTGGTCCTGTGTCATGGAAGAGACTTTATATTGCCAAAATCTTACATGATTATTCTGCAGACATGGTGACCCAGTGTCTCCTTTTTCTCCTTTGTCTCCTTTTGGCCCTTCTGCTCCCTGAAAGGTAAAAATGTGACACTGATGTGGTACATCTTCCAGGAGAGGAAAAATGAGAGACAAATAGGTTTGTGTCCCTCCAAACAGCAGCCTTGGCTCAAGCAAAGCTCGTGGTCATCTCTGGGGGACCTTGAAGAAATATTTTCTCCTCCTTGATACATTCTGAATAAGCTGATTAGGAATGGAAATCCAAAGCTGTCCACAGTAAGGTGGTGTGGAGAGGTCACTGCTTAAATCAGCCAGCCCAGCCCCATTCTGAGCATTTGCAGAAATGAGTGCCTGAAAGAACCAAGGGCAGAGGGACACCAAAGGGACGTACCGGGGGACCTGCCGAGCCCATTTCTCCCGTCTCTCCTTTCTGCCCCATGGCCCCCATGCTGCCCTGGTCACCCTTTGCTCCTTTGGGACCCTGCAAGTTGAGAAAATACAACATGTTTAGGAGAAAACTCTTAAAATATCCCCCCACAGCAGCCACTTCTGCCTCTCTGCTGTTTCCTTCTGCATTGTGAGCTCACTAGAACATGTTTTAACATTCCACCTCACAGATGCCAATTTTGAGGGTGCAGCAGAATTTGGCTGGGCTGCAGGAGGGATTCCAGCCATTTGGGGTTGGGAAGGTTTACAAAAGGATTTGAGACAGCATCTGATGAGCTGCTTGTGAAAGGAGCTCCCTTAGCTCGGCAGACACGGCCACAGCAGCATCAGCACGCTCAGAGCAGAGCAGAGCAGGGGCTGCAGGCACAGGGCCATCGATTCAGGGAGTCACAGCTGCCCCTCCACAGCAGAGCTCACTCCTGGCACGCTGGATTTGCTTTTCAGACACACAGGAAGCTTCCCTTTCATTTGGCTTCTGGCAAGGCCTCGCTCGATCCAGCCGTGCCTCACTCACCTTTTCACCATCCGCCCCAGGTGGACCTGGCAAGCCCAGCTCTCCCTGCAGGGAGACAAACAAAGGGGAGCCCATGGTAAATTAAATTAAGGATTCATCCTGGGAAAGCATTGTGCAAGGAAATTTGTTATTCATACACAACTGTTGTGGTTATGGGTTTGCCACTGCCAGGCTTAGGACCAAGGAGGTGTCAGCGACCCACCAGCATCACCAGCTGATCTGGATATTGGCACAGAGACCTCAAAAGGCACCAAAATCCTGTCCCATACTATTCTTTCAAGAGATACTTTTCTACAAATTACATTTTTCTTTTGAAGAAGCAGCTGGCTGCAGGTTACAGACTCTTGCTTGTGAAGCAGGAGCACAGCAGGGCCTGGGACACAGCACTGGGACAGCAAACAGCACACACAGGGAGGGTGGCTCAGCACAGACACAGCACTGCCAGCCCCTCTCACAGCTGCTTCTCCCACTTCTGCCTCCTGCCACAGACCAATGGGGCACTCTCAGAGGAGCTGGGATTTTGTCTGTCAGGTTGAACTGGGACTGGACTCGTTTCTGGGACACCATCCTCTGGAAGAAGGCCAAAGACAGGTCAACAAAAGTTTGGCTTTTTTGTGAAAGCCACTGTTTTTTCAGCCAGAGAAAGGGCTAAATAGCACACACAGCCTCAAACTCCTCTGCAGGCAGCTTCAACTGCCTGATTTTGGCTTGGGAGACTCCTCATGGAGAGCTACTAAGGACTGTGTAGCTTGGCAGAGGTCAGGCTCACCTTGGGACCTGGAGTGCCTTGGGGGCCCGGCGGCCCTGGGGGACCTGGTGGACCCTGAAACACAAACAAAACAGGTTTGGTGATGACTGGCACAGACATGGCAAGCTGTGCTCGTGCTGTGGGGATGAGCACTCCCAGCCATGATCTGCCAGAGGCACTCAGGTGAGTGGGATTGCCTGAGCACTGAGATGAGCTCAGCTGCCACAGAGTGCCCAAGGTTCCTCTGCCAAGGGGCTGTTCATGCAGCCAGTGGGAGCCAGTCAGGTGTACAGCTGCAAAGACATGGGCTGAGAGGCAAAATGCCTTTAGCTGGAGGTGGCACCCCAATCTGATGGTCTGTTTTTGCATCCTGCCCACTCCAGTCAGCCAGCCTGGGAAGCAGCATCCTGCTGAAAACAGTGTCAGTCAGCCAGGGAGATGCAATTAAAGAGGGGAAAAAAGGAGTTTGTGTGAGCACTAACAACAGGAAAATCTTGCACACTTAAAGAAGTTATTTTTCCTGGGCACTGCTGGATGCAAAGACCACAAACCACCTTGAGATGAACAAATATTTTCCAACTTGCAAATTATTTCAAGCAGCAAAATTTGTGGTCTTGCTCAGATGGAAGCCAAACCAGTATCAAATCCTGGAGCACCTTTCTCCATGGCTGCACACTCAAATGCTGTTACACTTAGTCACACTGGAAGCCTTTCCAGAGCCTTGTCCTTGAGACAGGTCAGTGCACAAACACTGCAAACAGAGAGTAAGCAGGAAAACAGCAAAGTTAGTGAGGTTCAGTGGTGTGTCCCTCAGCAATCTCTGCATGCAGGGTCTGGGTCCAGCAGATGAAGCCTCCAGACATTTGATGGAGCCTCTCCAAGCACTGCACTCCACTCCCAAAGCTGCATGCCACGCGGACATCTGGCAAACGGAAATTACCAGCACTTTGTGTATCCCTGCAGCCTGTTATAAAACAATTAGGATGGTTCTCAAATATGCCTGTAATCAAGTATTTATTCTATTCAGATTATTTCTTTCTAATGAAAAGGTCAGGGCACTGCTCAGTTGGGCAGGTTGAGGCTTGGGTGTCCTTCCCCTCACACCCACATCCCAACTGCAGCTATCAACTCCACCACCGCTTTTGCTGCTGCACCCTGAATATCCTCAGCCCCCAGAGGCAATCAGCTCTTCCTTTCCTCCCAACCAGCTCTGTGCCAAGACAGAGACCTCAGGAGGAGACAGAGGACAAGGGTGGACACATTGCCACAGTGGATGTCAGTCCTTTCCCACGAGCTTTGGGTCAGGCTCACCTTGAGCGCGTCCAGGATTCGGCCGTCGTAGTCGATCACGACGGTGTCTCCCTGCTCCCCTTTCAGCCCAGGGGGACCCTGCAGGCAGGGATGAATCCTCATTAATCCCACAGCGTGCAGAGGTGGCTGCTAGGAAAGCAGAGACCTGACACGCAGCGTTTGGGGGTTATCACCTTACAAACACCATGGATTTAACCAGCCCTCAGTCTGACAGCTGGAACTGTCAAACCTCAAAAGGCCATCAGTTTGTGTAATGGAGAAGAGCATAAAAATCCTCACTTGATTACCCCATTCCCAGCTTTCCTCTTGCAGAAAAAAGGGTCACAGAATGGTCATGAGTATAAGAAAATTGGACTTGACTGATTTCCCATGCCAGAATTCAATACCTGTGCAATCATTTCTTTAAATATGCACCATCTCTATTTTCTGACACTGAATAGATCCTGAAGCAATTCATCCACATACTAAGCAGAAAGAGGTGGTGGGGAACAGCTAAGGTTGAGAAAAATATTGTTCCAAAATGAAACCCTGAACATCCATACCCGGGGTCCAATGGAGCCAATTCCTCCCTTCTCACCAGGTTCTCCCTGAAAATCAAAAATCATTTTTCAATGAGACCAAGTAAAATATAAAATATTTATCCTAAAAATACTGTACCCACCCATAAGGATATGCTTTAGATTAAGAAAAAATCATGACACCAACAAAGGACTGCTTCTCCTAGCAGAAAATAGATTAGACCTGAGAATGAATATATTTAGCAAAAAACAATGTTGGTGTGACAACAAGAGGAGTAAGAGGTCTCATTGCAGGGGGAGGGGAGTGGCCAGCTCTGGGCTGTGCTGTTCTCCAGCTCCTCTCCCTGTCCCTGTGTTGAGCTCCATCTCTTTGTGCTGCTTCCACATGGCTCCCTTTGCTTCAGGCTCAGTTTTGCATGTGGAAAGTTTCAGCTGAGATGTTTAAACCATTTTCAACGGGGAGTTTAAGGAAAAGTTGTGCCAAATTGTTCCTTTTTTCTTCCTCTTTTTTATTTTTCCCCCTTACCCTCATTTTCATAATTTTTTTTTTTTTAAATTGGAGGGTTTTAAAAAGTCATAGTACTCTTACAATAATGACCTGAAATTCTGTTCAGGATTCAAAAGATGTCCCATTTGTCACACCCATGTTGGTCCCCTTGCTGACCAAATTAAAGCTCTCCAAAAAGTAAAAATGGTAAAAATGTATAGAAAAAAAACTAAATTCAATCAGCACTGCTATTATGGTTCTAGAAACAAGTTTATTAAGTTCACCAGAGCCCACTTTCTTCCTCACATACACACTGTCTTGCCCAATAAGGGATCATAACTCTTTAATACAGAAAATATTGGTGCATCCAGATCCTACTAAATCCAAAGCAGCTGAGGGGGTAAATAGCAGCCCATGGATGCTGTCTGGGGCTCCTCAGCACCACCCAACAAATCCAGATAATTTTATCTCTCAGCAGCTTTGGAGGTCAGGACAGCTCACAAGTGCTTGGGGCTCTGAAGCAATTCCACAGCCATCAATAACATGGGATCAAAATGTGATCAGAATTCTACAGTTTTTGAGGAAAAAGGCAATTCAGTGGAAAATGTGCGAGTGGATGACATACAAGCTCTTGTACTGATCTCTGCTTGAACCCAGCTTTCATCAAATCACCAGGAAAAGTTCAAACACTCCTAATCTCACTTTTTTTATGTCAGTTTTGGCACTTTATGAGGCTTTTAGAAGGCAAATTCCCAAAACACCTCCTCAGCTGGAATCCCCTGCCTCAGCAGTGCTGTGCCCAGAGTTGCAGCTTTCCCTTACCTTCAGTCCTGGGAAGCCATCTGTGCCATTCTCTCCCTTGGGACCCACACTTCCTTTTTCTCCCTGAAAACAAAACCCTTTAGACAAATGCTGTACATGGAGGATGGAGAAAAGATTTCTTCAGGTTATAATTTTCTTGATTTATCTTCACTTTACATACAGGAGGGAGCAGAGCCCTGCTTTCAGCTGTGAAACACATCACCTTGCCCAGGTGTAAATGGGGAGGTTTTGAGATAAAAGTGAAGATTTTAGAATCAGCAGTTTGGCTGCAGGTGGTGGGTTCAGCCATGAAGCTGGCCCCAAAACCACAGCATAGAATAATAAATTCACAATGTTTTGTGTTGGAAGGGGTCTTGAAGATCATCCAGCCATGGGCAGGGACATCTTCCACTGTCCCAGATTGTTCCAAGCCCTGTTAAACCAGGCCTTGGACACTTCCAGGGATGGGGCAGCCACAGCTTCTCTGGGAAACTTGTGCCAGGATCTCACCACCCTCACAGTTATTTGATCTTTTTCCACACCAGAGGAGAAATGTTTCTCATCCTGCCCCAGCTGGTGCAAAAACAGCAAAAGATGCTGCCCAGCACGTGCATTAGAGGGACACAGAGCAGAACATACCTTAGGGCCCACCAGTCCTGGTTCCCCAGGGATCCCATCATCACCCTGATGGAACAGAACACAAAGAGTGAAATACACAGGCCTCGGACACACTTAGTAGGTTCCAGCACATCATTTGACCTCACTGAGTGTTGCACAGACCTAAACCCACTCAGGTTTGCAGGCAACCAGGGGAGAGCAGCACAAAGGAGCACAGGAGGCTCCAGTGTGCTCCCCTGCTCCCACCCAGCTACACCCAGCCCTGCCTCCCTGCTCCTGGGAATGTGGATGGGCATCTTCCAGAGTTTGCTTACAGCAGGTCCTGGCAAAGATCTTCTCCCACCTTCAACAGAAACTAAACATTAAATTCCTTAAGGCCTTTTGGGTCCCAAAGACCTCCTGTAGCTGTTTCATGGACTTCATCACAAGCCACCAACACCCTCTGCCAGGAGGAGGTTTTCTGGTTTTGCTTGTGCTTTTTGTGGTTCTCCTGGAGTAATGCCACTTCATGGATGCTGACAAGATTAGTTTTACCGCCAGTTATGAAATGTTAAAGCCAAATTCTGGCTTGAAAAACACCCACAGCCACCCCTGCTTTGGGCCAAATCAGTGAGAGGGGAAGGCTGGGCCCTGTCAGTGCTTTGACTTCTCTTAAAGGCAGTGATTTATCCGCTTCTCCACTGGGGTGGAGAGCCTGGGCATGTGAATCTCTCACAATCTTCAATGCCACACCCCAGCAGCATTCCTGGCCCTCCAGGGGACATTTCCCATGGGACTGCAGTGCTGCTGGGTGATGGCCATCCCAGGAATTCCAGACCCGTTCCCTGGGCAGAGAACATCCTCCAGGCACCTCTTGGTCCATTGAATTATTGGAGAGAAAGGGCTGAGACCTACTGCTTTGCTTGGCATTTGCTCTTTTATTCTTTGTCTCTTGGGCAGACGTGGCTGCAGCTTCTGGCTTGCTGGTGGAAATGAAAGCCAGGCTGCAGGCACAGCCATGCCCAGCCCAGGATGGTGTGAGGGAAACTGAGGGAACACAGGGAAGGGTTGGTGGGGACAGCCACGACCACAGCCTCTACACCAGTCCCTGGCAATGGTTTTCTGAGCCAAGCACAGAGCAAAGCAAAGGGGAAATAAATAAATAAATATATAGTTAAAACGAATAAATATATAACATATAATATATAATATATAATATATAATATATAATATATAATATATAATATATAATATATAACATAACATATAATATACAATATGTAATACATAATACATAATATATAATATATAATATATAATTAGTATAAATATACTAATAATGCTAATACTACTATTAATACTAAAATAATAATAATAATATTTTTAAAATCACCGTTTTACCTTTTTCCCCTGGACGCCAGGCTCACCCTTCAACAGCAACATCAGCAGAAGAGAAAGAAATTTAGGGACATGACAGAAAATAAGGCAAATTATGTAGGTAATCAAAATTAATTGTAAAAATAAAATATTTGGCTTGTGCTGATCATGTTTATCCCCCCCAAAATGCATGAAAGCACATTCCCACAGCACAGCAGATTGCAGCCCCCTACAGTTCCCTCCAGCTCCATTTCCAGTTTTGAGCATGGGCAGTGGATGTGATATTGAGGAAGTGACACATTCAGAGATTTACACCCCAGTCAATGCCTTTGAATTTTATATCTGATATATATCAATGGGTTCCAGTCCACTACAAAATGGATTTTTTTGATCCCCATCCCTCTTATGAAGCATTATTTTAAGAATTCATGTTAAAATTAGACAGATTATTACCCACCTTTGGTCCTGGAGGGCCTCTGGCACCCTGTTGAATATAAGAGTGATAGATATACTTGTTTGACAACAGAGTAAAACAGAATAAAAACATTTCTAAGAGTATTTTAATTCCAAGAAAAAAAATTACACAGATGTCAACTTCTCATCTTCCCTTACAAACAGAGCTGTCTTTGTTCTCTGTGGTCCCAGTAAATAATATCCTTTTATGGCTCATGTATTTTAGGTATAATAAACACCTTTTTATCAAATGTAAACCTTAGCAGTTTGGAGTTACAATGCCAGGTGGCTTCAGAGGGGCTGGAATCAGGATACAGGAGCACCACATCCCTCCAGAAAAGCCCAGGGTACACAAAAACTGGCCTTTTTTCTCCCTAGAGCACAGGTAGCCCTGGACAGACATCCATTTTAGGGCACCTATAATTCCATGAGGGGTTTTTTGTCCTCCATAAGCAACAACACAAACCCCCTTGCTGCGGTGAGCAGAAGGATGATGTTCAGTGGGGGTGAGGGGCACACACAGAGATGCTTCTGGGCAATACTGACCATGACTCCATCCTCCCCTGGCTCGCCTTTGAAACCCTGCAAAAAGATAAAAATACCAACATTGAAATGATTACCTCCCATTCTCTGAAATGCTCAGCGACAATTTTCAAGGGGAATGTTCAATGTTCAGTGTTTCAATGTTCCACTGTGTTAAGCTTTAGCCTATTTTTTTACTAAATGAATTGCAAGTGGTCTTCAGGTCATCCAAAGGGTATGGACTGGGGAAGAGATCTCCTGGCTGTGTGAGTTACAACCAGCACCTGCAAACTCCTGCCCCAGGCCCAGCTCTTGGCTCCAAAACTGAGATGGAAGGTTCCCTCCTGCTCCCCTGCCCACACCCCAGGGCTTTGCTCTGTTTGAGCAGCCTCTGGAGCCCATCTGTGGCTCAGGCTTGGGCTCAGTGGCTCTGGTGGCAGCTCTGGGGAAGGGGACACCCTTCACCCTGCTGTCCCCGTGGGGTGGAGCTGCCTGGCACGAGCTCACTGCGCATCTCCCGTCCTTACAGGGGAGCCCGGGGGTCCTCTTGGGCCATCCTTTCCCGTGTCACCAGGAGGCCCCCGGGCACCTGGGGGTCCTGGAGGACCAGGGGGGCCCGTGGCTCCATCTCGACCTTGATCACCCTGGAAGAAGTTCACACAGACATGGTGAGATGAAGCAGTGTTGGCAAGGGGCGCTCTCAGGGTGTCCACAACACATGCATTGCATCCCTGGGCCCCCAGCACCCTGGCCTCTGCTGTCCCAGAGAAATTTAACTGCAGCTTCCAACTGCTGAACTTTCAGCTTTCCCAACTGCAGCTGGGAAAAATGAAAGTGAGCTCACCAAGCTCACCAATTTATGCCATTTGGAGCTGGTTCCTCAATCAGGATTGTGCTCGACAACGAGATTTAATCTGCTTAATGTCCCCCTTACCCAGTGACTGCCTGCATGGAATCCACCAACCCAGCAGCACCCAGAGCAGCCCAGGCCCACACCATGCTGGCAGGGAGCATGCACACACTGCCATGGCTCAGTGCACCACGCCAGAAAACCACACAAAAAGTGGCAGTGCTTAATGTCACCCTCTTCAGCCAGCCACGGTCACACACAAACCTCCCGAGCTGCTCGCACCCTGCGGATTTTGGGTGCCCAGAGCTCGCTGTGTCCCTGTGGGTCTGTGGGTGCCATTCCCAAGGGGAGCACCCCATGGGGCTGATTCCAGGCTGGGAATCACTCCTGGCCCCCCAGCAGCCAGCCCAGCCCCGGGGCCCAGCCTGGCCCATCCATGGGCTGCACAATGGGAAGGGCAGGCTCATAAATCTTTGAGCAACATCTGGGAGAGTCACCACCGAGGTCTGGGTTTAATATGCGGTCCACCCTCAAATCAGGGACAAGTGTGGGATTTTTTAGAAGTCCTTAAGTGACTTAGCAGCACAAGTCCCATTGCCTTTCAACAAGATCTGGGCTCCTAAATCACTTGCATCCTTTTTTAAAAAAACCCAATTGTAAATGCTGAACACTGCAACCAATTATGTCGAGTCTCCCACTGAATTTTTCCTAATTACAATGTCCCATTTAGAGTTCAAGGATTTAGATTACTCTAGTTTTAATGCATTTTATTTTACAATACCAACACTGTTTATATCAAATTTACAGGACTTTGCTGCTTGATTCCCAAATCTCACAAAGAACCAAATGCTGAAACCCATTAGTTTTATGTCCCTTTACTCTGTCCCCTAAATTCCAATGGGATTTCAGTTAAACGTGCTCCCAACAAGCATCTCTAAACACAGCCATGGTCATGGCAATTTAAAATAGAAACAATCAGCCAGAAAGAGAAAGCAAAAGCAGCACAATCACAGCAAACCAGAGGCAGCAGGTTTGGAGTCTACCTTGAGCACTCGCCGGCTAAAGACAAGCTGATCATTAGCTAGAAATCCATGATTGAGGTGGGGAAAAACCATCTATGTCCAGGGAAAGTGGGAGACAGAAGGAGAAAGAGCAGCAGTTTAAGATGAAAGCACAGCAGAAGAGAGAATTTTAAAGGCTGTAGCAATATATAACATTTATTTTTAATAATTAGTTGGTACATTAGAAAGTAATAGTCTAGGTAGCCAACAGTGGGGTTTAAGGTTCTGGGTACACTGGATCTTTATAACAGGACACGGACTGAGGGAAACAGTATTTTTTCACCAGTTTACTGCACAATAGAACATTCAAAAAAAAAAAAAAAAGCAGCTGGATCAAGGATTCCCCTGCTGCAGAATAAAGAGTATTATTCCAATAAACCCCATAGGGGATGATATATCCCAACATTTCCCTCTGACCAAATACTGTATTTGTTTTCAGAGGCTCAAATGAATACTGATGTATTCCCAGCCTGCAAATTGCACATAAATCTACCAGATTTATATGATGCAAAAACAATGTATTTAGACTGTATCAGTAGTCATTGCTATTGTGTTTTAGCCTTTCCACTCCTCTGTCTGGGGAGAAGCAGGAAGACATTTCCTTTCTCAGGACACCACGTGCATCTCCCTTTCCCCATCCACCCATCCATAGGGAATCAAGAGGGTGGAGTGAAGCCACAAGAAGCCCTGTGGGAACACACAGCAAAGCCTCCATGAGGGATTTTGGAGATTTCTGGGGAACAAACCTATTTTGCAAGTTGCCAAAGAGCTTTCAAACCTTGCACACCAATAACAGATAACCCCAAACCTCAGTTTTGAGGGGAATAGTACACTGGTAAGGCCACCTCCTGCCCAGCCTCCCAGTACAGATATTTTAACATCACCATGACAAGAAGAGAGGGAAAAAGTAAATTCAGAAAAACCAATCAACCCCAGAAAACAAGCCTCTACCAAGAATTTTTTTCAAGATGTAGAGAGGGACCTTAAGCTCAACACTCAGTTAATTGCAGCTACTTTCAGGAAGAACAGCACTGAAATACTGAGAAATTAAAATTAATGAGAACACTTGCACGTGGCCAGGTCCTCCAAATACTACAGAAACCACCAAAAATACTCTACTGAGAGTAAAAGGGTTTGTGGTAGACAGAAAGGACGCAGTTCTGTAGCTCATTATGGGCATAAAGTACAAAAAAGCATAAAGTGGGATTTTTATGAAAACCCACAGAGCAAAACAGGAATTGAAATTTTTTTCTTGTTCCTCAGACTGGTGGGCATCATCCAAATAAGCACATTCCAAGTCCAGCCCTATCTGTTTTAATGGAAAATAACAATTTACATTTGCTCTGAGGCCAAACACACCATATCCCACTAAATGCAGCCATCACACATTTAATTTTAAACAGCTCCTGTTACAGATGGGCCCATGAGAGGTGAACAGCCTTGAGGGATGTTAAATAGAGAGACACCACCTCTGGTTCAGGAAACATCCAGGCTCCAGGAGAAGGGTTAAGTGTGATGGAGCAACATATTCCTGCTCCACAGAGCATTGGGTTGCAGGCACTGGGCTCTCAGGCTGCTGGGTCTGACCCCATTTAGCAATGGGATATTGGAGCACAGAAACCTTGAACACTGGTAATTTCCACCTTTAGAGTCCTCAATGCAGCCATTTCAACATAACACTCCAAAGTCAGCAAATAATAAAATAAAAGCATCCATAGGTGTCTGTGGACTGTCACAGAGAGCTCTGCAGGATGATTCCTGTGCTGAGGTTTTATCTGCAGTGTGAGCTTGGCCAGCAGTTAGAATTTTGCAGAAAACAAGGGAGCAAAAGCTCCTTTAGTGTGCACTGAGCTGCAGAGCTGCTCCAGCCACGCCAGTGCTTGGCCCCAGCAGACACAGGAGATGCTGGAGCCACCTCCACCAGCCCTGGCCATGGGCAGGCAGTGCCACTGGGCCATGCAGACAGAGCAGCTCTCCCACTGGAGAAGCTCATTTCCCCCTCTGGAGAGCAGAGCTGGTGCTGCTGCCACAGGCACTGCATCCTCTGGGCCAGATGTGCAGGGATCCCTCAGCCCCATCATTTGTCTGAACATCTCATCTGTCAGTAGGAACAGGATCATCCAGCTGAGTCCATAAATCCAGAGCAGCTGGCCCAGTGCCAGCTCAGGGAGCAAGTCAGGCTTACAAATTCAGCCTTTTCCAGGGGTGCAGTAATGTATTTGCTTGGGAGAGAAGCACAGGCATGAATTCTGTGATTCTGTGACTCTGAATATCAGGGCACAGCTGTCCCAACCCCAGCACCATCCTGCTTCAATTCTCTCTATCCTCCCAAGAGCAGAAGGACCCTGTTAGTGATTTCCCCCTGTAAATACACTTCCATGCATTCTGTCAGAACATTTGGGCACATTTATTCCCCATCCTGAGCAGGTGAGGCAGCACAGTATCCTCCCTCATGCTGCTTACAACAAGGAACATTCAGATGAAGACAACCCAAGGTGATCTCCTTCCTCAGCTTTCCAAAATCACCCTCCAGCATCTCCCACCAGGCACACTCCAACATGCAATAACCTCTGGTTTTGTCCATGCTGCTGGCAGGTGTTTATTACACAAAGAGAAGCAATGCAGACATGAACAAATTCAGTAGCTAATCCCTAATTGCCATCACCCCACTCCCACCACAGACAGTCCCTCCAAAGCCACCCCAAGGACTATTCTCTTTTAATCCATCATTGCTAATGATAGTGTTCCAGTGCTCCCTGACACACTCTGTCCTCATTCCACAGCCCATGGACATGACCATTTACAAGGAAGGGGGCACTGGATACAGTCCTAGTTATTTATCTTCCCGTTGATGCAGTGAGTTGCATTGACACATCTTTCAAAATCAAAATCAGCTAAACAAAGCTACCACTGAAACTTGAGGAGTAAGATGGATTAAATTCAGAAATAAGAAGTAATCTAGACCAGATGGTATTAAGAAGTGCTCCTATTCACAGCCCTGAGTGTTTGGAGACATAAAGGGAGCTATTTTCAAAGTCAGGCACCTGTTTTTAGGGCTACTTGTGCATGGTTCTGCCAGGCTTTTCTCTCTCACTTTTCTCCCAGATTGTTATTGAGCCTTTTTCTCACTTTTCTGCAAAAAGTCATAAATAAATCAAAAACTGAAGCAAAATCTGGAAAAATGCAGACCAGGACAAAATCTGCCCCCAAAACCCAGCACATTTTTCTTGGTAGGTGAAAACAAAGAAGAAGTGTTACCTTGAGAGCTGGTGCCTGCCCAGACAGAGCCTGTCCCAGAGCATGTCCTGCAGCAGGAGGTGAGTTCCCCAGCACCTGGCAGCACAGAGCCTCTGGAGCCTGAGCAGCACCTCCTCCAGCATCCCCGAGCTGCCAGCCCCAGAGTCACCCACAGCCCTGGCCAAGGAGTGAACCCAGGTCCCTGTGCTGCTGAATCACCTCTTAAAGGCTGCGCTGAGCCCGTGGGTGGGCACAGAGTGAGGCCTTGGCCGAGCCCCTCCCTCACCACACAGGCTGTAAATCCATCTGAGAAATTTTAGGGGCTCTCTGAGCCCCAGGGTGACATTTCCAAACACACCCAAGGCAGTTGGGAGCTGCTTCAGAATATGACACCAACTTCATGGAGTGATTTTACAACCTCCAGGGGAAAAAGAAAAATGTCTCTGAAGCATCTCAACTCAACATTAACCACTGAGGTCCAGGTTGTGTTTCCAGCAATGATATCTAACCCAGGTCAGCCAACTCTTGCGTGCCAGCTCCAAATCCAGCTTCCTACAGTGACAGGTACACCAGGATTCCAGCACATCCCCACAATGGGGTTTGCAGCAGGTGCCCATAATCCACAGACAACCACACCCCAGAAATACAGAAATACCTCTGCAACAGAGCCCACACCTCGTGGTGAAACCTCCCATCCCATCCCCAGCATGGGCCACATCCCCTTGTGTCTGGTGGAGACCAGTCCTGATTTACCTCAGTAAATCTCAATTTTGTGCAGCTCCATGAGAGGAAATTTCATGAAATTCCATTATTTTCTCTACACTATAGCCAAAAAAGTTTTCCCTCACCACACAGTTACTTTAACCCCTTTATTTTCAAAGGCAGCCTGGCTATCACCTCTATGCCATCCTGCTCCCAGGTGGGGAGCTCAGCAAGGGAGGAGAAACATTCCATCCTGCACAACTCTGTGCTGGACCTCTCCTTGGGACACCAGATCCTACCCCCATGTACTGGTGGTCTAATGGCAGCAGATAAGGAGCACAGCCTCAAGAGAAACTTCAAGAGAAACATCAAGAGAAACATGGAGTCTGACACTGGAAGAGGAAATTAGGGATGAGAAGGTTCAGTAGAAGAAAACCCTCCATGAGGCACAAAGATCTTCCACTCCTTCTTCCTCAAAGTTAGGAAAATCATCCACACAAAGAGCTCCAGAGGCAAAATTAAACATTTCCACAACTGTTACCATACTGTTTGCAGCAAGGCTTTGTTTTGTGCAGTGATTAAACCCAACCAGATTTTAGAAAAAATCAGTGTGCTGTGTCACCACTTACCCTTGGGCCAATGTCTCCTGCCTCCCCCTGCAAATCAGGAAAAACAGCAAAGGGTCAGAGTTCAAATCTCAGCCCTGAAGGACTGAGCACAGGGTCAGCTGGACACGGCACAGCACACAAGGGAAGGGGCAAGAGTCCTTCCTATTGTTTAATATATTTAAAATGAGGGAGGAGAAGGTTTTGAGACAACACAATAGGGAAAGATTCTGCCCTGGCAGGCAGTGAAACAGATAATAAATCAGAAATAGCAGTTAGTTTCCAACTCTAAGGCTCTCCTAGCAACTGCTTATGTCCTTCACATGTGAAAATTAACTTCACTTTCAGTAATGACCTTCTTTGGCTCCTCTGATTGCATGGGTGTTGTGCAACACGATGGAGCCCAGATCTCTTGGAGGAATGAAGAGTTTTATGCTCTCATCACTCTTAGAGGCTTACCAGAGCCCTATGGCATAAATGAGCTTTAAGACCACACTTTCCCCCCACCTTTTTTGCAAATTGTTCCTGCCCTCCCCTTCCTGGGGCTTTTCCAAGAGCAATGTGAGAGCACACTCTAAGAGCTCCAACAAAACCCACTTGGTTATTGGGGCAACCTGAACTTGAAAGAATTACAGCAACAGGAGGATATTCAGAAACTGCTTCCCCAAAACCCACATGTTAATGCAGCCTTTACCTTTTCCCCTTTTGGTCCTGGAGGTCCCTGGAAACACATAAGAAGAATCCAAATTAAGGAACAGCAGAATCGCCAATGCATGTGACATTAAAACCAAGGAAATCACATTCATCAATTCACAAACCTGAGCCATATTCTCTATTATTTTAAGGAATACATGCTACTATTTTAAAATGTGCAGTGCTTGACATGAGCAACACTTTACCCAAAAGCACCCACGAGCTCCTGCCTGCTCCTGCTGGGACAGAGTACAGAGGACCAGAGCAGGGCAGGCAGTGTGGCAGCAGCTCACCAACATGTGACCCTAAATAGATGCAAAAGATACCTGGAGGTATTAAATCACTTCTAGAAAAAGCACATGCTCAGTGTATCATTACAATTATACATCTGTTTGAAATAAACAAGGAGGATGAGCTGCTTCCCTTGGCCTGTTGCTGAAGGCATCATTCATCTTCCCTCTGAGCAGCTGTCTGTAGGACAGGCAGGGGCACTGCAGCCCCAGAGAGAGCCCCAGAGCAGCACTTTGATGTGTCTGCTCTGCATTTGCCTTCCAGCACAGAGAAGCACCAAACCTTGGTGCTGGAGTGGGACCAGGGGGGGAAGGTCAGCAGCATCTGCATTCCCACGCAGCCTCCCTCCCACTGCTTCCCTCTGAGCAAGGCTGCTGGCCCCTTTCTGTCATGGAAGAGACCATCAGCAGTCTGGTGTGAGTCTGGCTGTGTGATAAGTTTGCTGTGTCACTGAGATTCCCCTGCCTCTCCCTCCTGCCCTGCAGTGACACCCCAGCCTGGGGGTGCGGGGCTGTGCTCTAGGGTCTGACTGCCCTCCCAGCGTGAGGTTTTGCTAAAGAAAGCCAAGCCCTTCCTTCTTTTCTGGTCTAATGCTTTATTTCTAGATTTTATTCACATTTTCTATCCTCAGGGTTAGGATAAAAACCAACCACAGCAATGTATGGCTATAACAACACACTCCCTCACTGGATGGAAATAAATGTCTGGAGTGGCTTTTCAATTGCAAAGACTGAATGGCTTTTACCCACTTTGAAACCCCACTTGGTTTAGGACCAGAATTTAAAAAGATTTCATATGGGGCCCTGTGGTGAAGGTGGTGGAAGAGAATGGGGTTTGGAGACAAAATATGGAGCTGTGACCTTCTGTAGGAACCATTCAGTGGAAGGAATCAGAGCTGGCTAGGGTTCAATTAGCATAAAAATAAAAAAGCCTGGATTTCTGTAAAATGAAAAAGAATGAAGCACCTGAATATCCAAAGGGCTTCCAAGCAAAAATGAAATCAAGAAAACAGCTCATAAATTAATCCAGTCTGTTCCAAAAAGTATTTCATGGACACTGGGCACCCTCAAGCAGTTCCCAGCTCAGGTCCTTTGGAGGAAAATGGAACCTGCTTTGGGATCAATTATTTTTAAGGTATCACTCTGCAGTGCCAGAAGCACACAACCAAGATCATTGGCTTTTCTCTTTGAATGTGCTACTGGAGTTTATTCCCCACACTTGGCCTGATGCCCATCTGCAGTCTGTGCTCCCTGAGCTGGGGCAGGAGGGGAAGAGGCAGCTGAGATGAGCTGACAGGTAAAGGAAAGTTCACCTCCAGCTCTGCTGGCCAGCCCTGGCTCAGAATTCAAACTTCATGGAATAGTCTTCCCAAGTACAATTGTTCCTCTTGAACAGTTATATATGTAGCACTAAATGAGTAATAGTTGAGATAGTGCCTGTTTATTGTGGAGCAGCATGAACAAAGACATGTTATATTTGGCACTTGGTGCTACTTACTGGTTTGCCATCCAAGCCAAGAGGCCCCTGAAAAAGTAAGGAAAAGAGAGTATTATTAAAAAAAAAAAAAAAAAGAAAAAAATGTTTCAAACATAGCATTATCAGGCATGCTCTGAAAGAGACTCTACTTACTTAATCTTTTGCTATGATTCTATGATTTACCTACTCCTCCATCCATGCAATCCAGCAGGAAGGTTTCACAGAGGCACAGTAAGAGGCATCAAACAATTGGCAGAGTGTGAAGGAGGGTGAAAGGAAGCGACAGGATTAGTGACAGGGGTAAGGTGACACTGCTCTGGCACTTGGCCTGGGGCTCCCCGAGGTTTTGAAAGCCAGAACCAGCAGCAGTAAAACATGCTTGATTTGGTTAAACTGAGCAGATCCATGAGTGATTCACATCAACCTTGGGTCTGAGCTATTTTTCCTACAGCACTCAGTTATCCCAGCTCTTCCTCAGGTCTCCTGTTTCTAGGGTTGCTGCACCAATATGGAAAATGGTGAATTCCTCAGCATTTCTGGCACTTAAGCCCTTAATTAACACCAAACCACTGAATGTGTTGGGCCAAAGAAAACATTGCTTTCGATAAGGGATGTGGGGAGGGAGGAAGTACAGATGCTCTAAGGCCAAAGCTGTCCCTGTTATCAGCTGGAGCTGGCACTTTTGGGGACAAAGTGACACCCACCAGTAGCTGTAAATCCACTGCCTGTGGCAAATGCAAGGTTTCCCCCTGCAAAGCTGCACCTTGGGATCAGCTCCAGCTCCCTCCCAGCCCTGCTCTGCACAGCCACACCTGTGGAATATGCACATCCTCCTCCCAACATGCTGGGATGAAACATCTCCCACATTACAGCCCTGAGAACCATGAGGATCCACCAAAGCAAAAGGGGTCTGGGCTGTGGTACAGTGCTAGAGCACCAAAGGTCTCTGTATTTCTTAGGGAACTGATTGGGGTGAGTCTTTTTTAGTTTATCCTATATCTGTGATAGGGAAATTGAGCAAAAGAGGCAAAGGTGGGTAAGAGGAGGCCAATGGCTGCATTTAAAAGAACATCCTTTCAGCTCACAGCCATTGATAAGGAATAAATGGCCATTGATAAGGAATAAATCAGTCTGCAATGGCTAAGCTGATGGGGCCTGGAATATGAAACTCTGGGAAACACAGCTCTGTTAGGAAAAAGGTAAATCCAGATGACCTTGGCAGATCATCAGTAGCTGGGTTACAAGGGCTGGGGGGCCTGTGCAAGAGAAACTCACTTGAAAATTAATGAGGATGTCTTTACACACATGAGATTTCTGAAATCATCAAGCACAGGTTACATTCCTTATGTGATGTGGACTTTTTCTTCTAAGGAACCATCAGTACTCAAAGCTGTATAGTGGTCATGAAAAAAGTACATAGAGCAGTTGTGTCTGTTAATGCAAAGGTTTGCAGGTCACAACCAAACTACCCTGATACCTCCTCCACACTTCATCTCACCTCAATTCCTTAGGTTCTAAAAGCTGGGAATGGCATCAGGTTCACAGAGCTTCTTTTCTGAAACTATGATTGTTTGAGGTGATTCATCTGAAGTTCCTGATGCAACTCCCTGACTTTCAGAGGATCAGACATGGGATATGAGCAGAGAACTGGCAGCACATTCAACTTCTCAGAGGAGTAGAAGTCCCAGAATTATTATTTTTAAAATATAACATGCCAGTTCTTCAACTTTTAGCTATTCTTGTATCAGTCCACAAAGAGATATCCAGAAGCAAAAACAATGGCCTATTCAGAAGATGTTTGAGGGAAAGCATTTAATGCTTGAGAGAAACAATATCCATCAGGGTTCCAAAGGGGCTCTTGGCCAGCCACAGCACTGAATGGACAACACTAACACAGAATTTTAAACATCTTGTTAGTCTGGGCTGGAGACTGAATTGACTCTGCTCTACCTGCCCAGTCGAATGTCTGTGTGAGCAAGGCAGGGTTCCCAAGAGCAGCCAGGAGATTTCATCTGAAATCTGGGCTGCCTGACTTGACTGCCTGCAAATCTCAAGAGTGCCCATGTGTTGAGATTGTTATTGTCTTTCATTTGAATTCTCCTCCATGTCATTTTAATTAAAGATTAAGCAATCTCTAATTTATTTGATAAATAAGGAATGGGGAAACAATGAGTAACCCTCTATTCTCCCACTTAAAACCAATCTCTGTAGAAGTTTTCACTTTCAGAGGACAAAAAATACTTCTGCTAAACCAACCAGGAAAAGTGTGTGAAAAAAGAGAGTTTTCTTCTTGGACTCCTTGGCAATAGAAAGCATCACAGTGGTTTTAGGCCCTGCTTTTTGCCCAGGGAGCAATTTCACTTGTGCTGTCTCTCACTCTTGATCAGAGCCCTTTGCTCTAAATCACACTCAGTGATCACAACTCAGATAATTCATTACTCACTACATCCAGAGGGGATGAACTTTCTGCCTAGACAAACCCAATGCTTTAAAACAAGGTAGAGGGAAAATTCAACCAATTTCCCCCAAAACACAGTTATGACCAAAAGCCTCACTGCACTGGCTAAGTGGGACAAAATGTCTCAAGGAAGAGCAAGCACACTGTTGGGGTCCCAGATGACCCTAGGGGCCCCTTCCAGCTGGTAACAAACTCACATCTCATTTTCTGACCACACACCAGATGTGTTCAGTGCCTGGTCAAAGCAGCTCTGTGGGACACTGTCCTCATTAGAAAAGAAAAATTGCTGCTGTCATTTTTGCAAAGAAAATACATCTGCAACATCTGTCTGGAGCCCTCAGGTTGCTGGAGCAGGAGGAGCTGGATTAGTGGGGACAGCTGGTGACACAGAGCTGGTGACACAGAGCTCAATCAGTCACTCACAGAGGTGAGTGATAATTGCAATTACACACCTTGGTTTCACCCCTCACAAAGAGTGACACAGGCACAGGTGTTCCTGCAGGAATAATGATCCATGGTGATCCCATGGTGCATCCCCCCTTGCCATCACCAGGGTGAGGACATTATTTATAAAGCTAATATATTTTATGGTACACATTGATGATCTATTATTTAATGATATCTAATTACACCTTGATGCTGAGAATGCAGACAGGGGTCAGATAAGATGTAAAAGCTTGAGCAGAGCTTGTTACTATATCACATTATCTTGATGCATGCCTTGGTTTTGACACACAACATTTTAACTTCAGAGTAAGGGGCTGAATTCAAATGCATTTTAAAACAAATTCTGATGTATTTTTCAGTTTGTTTCACAGTAGAAACTCACAAGTCTTGAGATACAGCACCAAAATGCCACCTCTCATTACAAAAATGAGATTCACCCCTTGCTGAGGTCAGCTAAAGGCTTGAGAAGGTTTGAGCTCACCCAAAAGGGAAGATGTGGAGCTTGAAAAGCTGTTCCAATAAATAACAGGTGTTTCCCACGTTCATCACTCACCTCTCAGAGGCTCAGACAAGCCCAGGTGCCAGCCTGGCTCTCTGACCCTCTGCCATCCCCCTCCATCCTCACTGCTGCTGGCAGGGATGGACTTGCTCTGAAAATGTTACAGGAATTTTAAGGGGGGAAAATACATGGTGAAAGCAAAGCCAGAGATTTTTAAGAGGACAATCCTTCTGAGTTGGGAAATCTTCTGTCATGGTTATTTTTAATGTTTCCTGCTCTGCTAAAAATTAGCAGAGGGGTCGGAAGGAACCCTGCAGTCAAATTTTGACAAATTCAAAGGGCTGCCTTTCCATCTCTGGCTCTGTGGTTTCAGAAAAGGGTAGGATCTTATATTCCAAGGAATGAACAAAAGAGTATGACAACATTTTAGTATCCCTGCAAAGGGCCCTGGGTCATCTGCAGCACAGGCAGGGAGCAGGGACCATCCCTTCCTATAGGCCATGCTGTAAATCCTCACAGGCAGGACAGTGTCTGCTGGCCATGTGGGTTCCTCAGCACATTTTTGTGTGAGAAGAAAGCTCTGTCAAAAGCTGTGGCCAAGCACACCCTGCCAGGCCTGTCACAAGGAAAGTGGAGGAAGACAGCCAGGTTGCTGTGGCTGCTCCCAGCTTCCCAGCTGAAGGGAAAGGGAAGAAAAGGGACTGAGAAACAAAGAATGAACTGTGAGTCCTCTAAATAGCAGCTGAGAATCACTAGCACTAACTGTGAATAAACTGAGTCCAAGAGACTTGCTCTGGGATGTCCCCTCATCCTCAGTTACTGCTGCTCCTCCTCCCTCCCCAGTCCTCAGTGCAGAAGGATCAGAAACACTTACAAAATAACAAATTTCTACTCCATACAGTACCACTGCTGCTGCACTAATCATTTGTCCTTTCAAATGCATTTAAACTATGTTTTATTGTTTATTTTTTATCTTTATTATCTATAATGCTAAATAAATTTATTACTACATTTAAAAATTTGTGAAGAGTATGGAATTGGTCATACAAGGGATTACCCCAAGCACACACCACTCACTGCTGTGAGCCTGGAGGTGTCCTGGGCAGGAGGTTCCTCCTTCATCAGCTCTGACCTTCAGGGTCCCTGGTGTGAGACCCCAAAATCATATCAGTCTGCAGCACGACAAAACATTGGAAACATTCCCACCAGGAGCTGCTATGGTTAAGCATTAAGATCATTTATATCACAACAGTTTCATGTTTAGCTTTATATATAGCATGGAAAGCCTCACTGCAATGGGATGGGATTGCTGCACACGGGAACAGCGCTGCACTTAAAAATAAATGTAATTTTTTAAGCAATGAACATGATTATCGACAAACCTTTGCTAACAATTTTCTTCTTCATTGTTTGAAAAAAGCTATTTCAGTATTGTCCAACACAAATCCCCCATGTAACCAAATTTCCTCCATGTAGTCATGGAGCAAACCGTGACTACATGCAAACTGGAAACCCATTTTCCATTACTAGATGAGTTTTTTTCATCATTTAAAAAAAAATTCCCAAACCAAACAGCTTCTACGATTTTCTTACAAGCACTAAACATCAGTGTTGATGAGACATGATTTTTTAATCCTTGCAAGA